CCCATCAAAATATCAATGCCATTTTTCACATTATGAATTAGGAAAAAAACCTTAAATTTCATATGGAACCAAAACCCAGCCTGAATAGCCAAAGCAAGCTTAAACAAAAAGACCACATCTGGAAGCATTACATTACCTGACTTCCAATTATACTACAAGGTTATAGCAACCAGAACAGCATAGTACTTACTGGCATAAAAGTAGACACATACATCAGTGGGACAGAATAGAGAACCCAGAACTAGAACCATTCACCTACAACAAGCTGATCTTTGACAAAGCAGAGAAAAACATACACTATTCAACAAATGGTGCTAGAAAAATTAGAGAGCTACATGCGAGAGAATGAAACTAGATCCCTATCTCTTGCCATACACAAAAATTAACTCAAGATGGATTAAAGACTTAAATGTGAGACCTGACACCATAAAAATTACAGAAGATGACTTAGGAAAAATTCTTCTAGACATTGGCCTGGGCAAAGAATTTATGACTAAGACTCCAAAGGCACATAGAATAAAAACAAAAATAAATAAATGGGAGTTAATTAAACTAAAACGTTTCTGCATAGCTAAAGAAATACTCAATAGAGTAAATAGAAAACCTAAAGAATGGAAAATAATCCTGACACACTATATATCCAACAAAGGACTACTATCCAGACTATACAGGAAACTAAAAAAAATCAGCAAGAAAAAAAACAGCCCCATTAAAAAACGGGCAAATTACATGAAAAAACATTTGTTCTAGGAAGAGATATAAATGGCCAACAAACATATGAAAAATGTTCAACATCACTAATCATCAGGGAAATGCACATTAAACCCACAATGAGATACCACGTTACCCATGTCAGAAAGGCCATTATTAAAAAGTCAAAAAGTGGTAGATATTGGTGCAGATGCAGTGAAAAGGGAGTGCTCATTCACTGTTGGTGGGAATGTATAACCATCATGGAAAACAGTATGGAGATTCCTCAAAGAACTAAAAGTAGATCTACCATTTGATCCAGCTATCCCACTACGGGGCACCTACCCAAGGGATCAAAAAGACAAATGCACTCATACGTTTATTGCAGCATAATTCACAATTGCATACATATGGAATCAAACTAAGTGTCCATGGACTGATAAGTAGGTAAAGAAAATATGAGATTATATATATATATATATGTATATATATATATATAATGGAATCCTACTCAGCCTTAAAAAAGAATGAAATAATTTTGCAGCAACTTGGATGGAACTAGAAGCCATAATCCTAAGTGAAATACTGCAAGGACTCACTTATAAATGGGAGTTAAATGATGGGTACACAGGGTCACACAGAGTGGTATAGGGACTCTGGAGACTCAGAATAGGGGAGGTTGGGAGGATGGAGAGGGATCAAAAGCTACCTATCTGGTACAACGCGTACCATTTGGGTGACTGGTACACTAAAAGCCCTGACTTCACCACTATAAAATTCATCCATGTAACATAAAACCACTTATTCCACTAAATCTACTTAAATAAAAAATGAAAAAGAGCAAGATAAAATCATTATAATAAAAAACCGGCCAGGCGCGGTGGCTCATGCCTGTAATCCGAGCACTCTGGGAGGCCGAGGCAGGCAGATTGCTCTAGGTCAGGAGTTCGAAACCAGCCTGAGCAAGAGCGAGACCCCATCTCTACTATAAATAGAAAGAAATTAATTGGCCAACTAATATATATAAAAAAAATTAGCCGGGCATGGTGGCACATGCCTGTAGTCCCAGCTCCTGGGGAGGCTGAGGCAGGAGGATTATTTGAGCCCAGGAGTTTGAGGTTGCTATGAGCTAGGCTGCTGCCACGGCACTCACTCTAGCCTGGGCAACAAAGTGAGACTCTGTCTCCAAAAAAAAAAAAAAAAAAAAAAAAATACAAGAGAGCACACCTCAAGATACCAGCACTAAAGAGATTTCTAGAAGATAGTCCCCAGGGTGAAGAGAAATGGTCCCCAAAGGACAGTCAGACATGCACAAGGGAATGCTGGGAGTGTGTGGAAGTCTAAAGACCTTGTATAAAGAGAAACAATCATAGCATCTACATTCTGGGTTAACAAAATAGAAGTAAAATACTGGCGAAGAAAAGCCTGTAAGTTGGGGAAGACAGTAATTAGAATTAAAGTGAAGACGGGAGGAAAGTTTCAAATGTGATTTTACTTTACACTCTGTTAAGCTTAATATGCATGACAAAAGTCTACCTTTTGGTATGTAGTCTGTAGAAACCTCTCTCTCTCTCTCTCTCTCTCTCTATATATATATATATATATATATATATTACATATACACATACACAAAAGGGCTGTCCAGAGAGTATGCAGCCATTGTTAATAAAATTTTTCAGCTCACACAGAAAGAGAGAGGAGAGAGAGAGATTTGTGTTTTTTTTTTTTTTTTTTTGTGATGATTTTAGAGTGTTGAGTGTGTATGTGTTTGTGGTTTGGTATGTGTATTGTGATAAAACTTAGGAAACAAGTAAATTTCTGTTCAGGATGTGATGTATGTTAATATATTATATATAATCATACTATGGAAGACTAACTGCAAAAGGGACTGCTATATTTATGTGTTTGTTATCTTTTTAGTGGATAAAGCAGGTTACATAAACATAATTGTAACATATATGTAGCAATATTTTTAGTTAGTATGTTTTTTCTGTGTGTTATTTGTAAAATATTTGTTTTTTGTGTCCTTTTTTATTGGTGTTGTTAATAGTTGTTTGCCTTTACTGTAATGTCTCCTCTCTTTTTTTTAGAAAAATGATTTCTTGGTTGTTTTTTATCTTTTTTTTTTCTATCTTAATATAAATAATGGTGTATTATGCAGTTATATGTATATCATATATAAGTGTGTATGTTCAGTTTGGCTCTTATGTTATTCTTGTGCTTTATTGTTAGTAAGTTCTCTTCTTTATTTGATGCTCACTTGACTGCAGGATATCATTTCCTCCTAAAATATTAGGAATGGTTATCTAACGAGTAAGACAACGGAAAATTCTGTTTTTTTCTTTCTATTACTTGTGTGATTTTGCGTACTTTTCTATATTACATGATGTGTGAAAAGATGAAAATGAATGGAAGCCAGCGATGGTATGTATGCCTTGTAACTAGTCTATCTCTGGGAGCTTGAGGCAAGTTTTGATTCTCATTTGAGCTCAGGAGTTCTTGTATGACTAGCTCCTGAGCAAATGCGTAATCTTCTCCATCTCTATTAAATATTATGTATAAATTAAATCTGGATCAACCAATAATTTTATCATATTGAAAATGTTGAGCATGTGGCACATGCTTAAGTCCAGGTCTATCTTTTGGTAAGTTGATGGCAGGTTTGATTCTTGATATTTGCTCCCAGGAGTTTGATGTGTTTTGCGTGTGAGGCTTAGGCTGATGCCAGTGGATTACTCTTATGCTGGTTGCATATAGATGTCGATACTCTTTGTCTTTATAATAAAATAAAATTAAAAATAATTAATTGGATATATTTTATTGTTCTCAAGTAATGTCCCTTTATCCTGATGTACTCAGCCACCTCTACCTTGTTGTTATTACATTCAGAAACCCAGGTACTCAGCCACACTCTACCGTTCTATATATCCTGGCACATGCCTTCCTCGTAACGTTGTTTCATTATTAAAATTTTTTTTTTTTTTTCTTTTTTCCTGTTGTAACGTGTGATAATTCCAAAACAAGACACAAGTATGATAATATCCATTCCACAGTTCCTGCGATTTTTCAGGTTGCTTGTTTCCCCACATCAGCAATAAACGAGGAAACTTGTAAAATGTTCTAGGAGGAGGTATACCTCAGAGACGACTTTGCAGTTCTAGACAGCAGTGTCTTAATGAAAGTAACCCCTGAGCCCAATAATTTATTGTTCAGTCAGGTCTTCATAGGTTAGAGCTTAGTCCTCGAGTTGGTGTTAACCTGCATGAGGCTCCTACACCATAGGAAGATGGACAGAAGGTCACAGCGCGATTAATTAGCAAAAATGAAATACACGTTGCATACATACAGAAAATGATTTGAACCTCGCGATGCTGAGCAAAAAAATTAACAATCAAAACAACAACAAGATACTAATTTTTCACCTATCAAATTGTAATCGATTTTTAAAATATTACCCAGGATTGGCAACTGTCTAGAACATGGATGTTCATGTACAGCACTGGTGGGGCAGAAAATGATCTGACCATTGAAAGCATTTTGGCAATGAGCATCAAAATCCTTAAAATTTTGCATACCCTTTGGGTCTAGCAATTCTACTTGAAATTTATCTTAACAAAATAATCATGATGTCATGCAGAGACTTAACCACTGCATCCCTGCTCATAAAAACAAGAAATGACGATTAAATCATAACATAATGTCGAATATTGGGACTATGTCATTTTAATTGTCTCATCCATCCATCCATCCATACAATTGAATTAATAATATGCAGTCATTAATGATAAGGTTGAAGAACATATAATGGTATATAGGATGTCATATATTCTTAGGACAAAGGCTCCAGAATGTTAGCCGTGGTTAAATGCAAATGTTGGAATTTATAGTATTATTTATTTTCTTCTTTTTTGCCAATCTGAATTTTTTTAGTTTTCCTAACATTAACACATATTCGTACTGTGATTAGAAACAAAAATATTTTGGAAATCATGGGGTCCCAGCGGAAGCAATAGTTTTTTCCCATTTCCAGTGCACGTGGCTCTCTGGCCCACCAATCAGAGCCCAGCTGTGGGAGACCACGCGGAGCTGGGGTAAAGGCACGTGGCTTCACCTTCTGTCCCCCCACCCCCCGCAGCCTTTCTAAGGGAGAATTCGAGGCCTGGTCACAGGCCCACACCTCTCTGATCAGGTCCAGGCTGGGACAGAGGTGACCTGCTTTTTCACAGCATGGGACTGCTTGGCCCTGCAGAGGTCAAGGAGGGCTCCCTGCTGAGGGAGGAGGGAGGAACTGCCAGGAGCCACTGCCTCACCTATGAAAGTGACCGCAGCCGCCCTCAGGAAGGTCTGCGGGCTCTTCAGGAAGCCGAAGCTCTGGGACAGCAACTCCCCCATGAGCTGGTATTTGCCTGTGTGCACCTGTGGAGCCAAAGAGGGGTGGTGCTGAGCAGGACGGGGCCACTAGGAGCGCCACCAGATAGCCACACCACCTAACCTGTGCCAGCAGCCCTGGCCTGTCTCCAGGCAGCTTCGACTCTTGGACCTGCACGTGCAGCCCAGCCCCTCCCGCCCAGCAACAGCGCGCTCGGCAGGAAGTTCCTGGAGAGAACTATGCTGCTGGCCACCCGCAGAAGGGAGAGCATGATGACAGATGTGGAGCCAGGGGACCCAGGTCTGAATACTGGCCCCGACCCTTCCTGGCTTCGCTGTGCTCTCTGTAGAGTCGAGGGAAACCTGCCCAGCCTCCCTTGTGTCACCGCTGGGCACCTGTGGGGTAGTGGCCGTGACAGGGCTTTGCAAAGTGCCCTCGGTAAGTGAGGGACTCAGAACGTCAGAACTACTCGTGTCAGTTCCCAACCTACTGGCTCAGCCCTCACGTGTTTCCTTTCCAACCAGGATTCCTGATCTCTGGCCCGTTCTTGACGGCAGGAGCCACAGATCCTTGACACCACGGCTCCTGCCCTACAGTCCTGCCAACTCCTGCCCACCGCGCTCCTGCCACTCTAACCAGAGGACCTGTGTCCTGTGGCCATGCAGGGACCCGGCGTGACCTCCCCAGCCTCTGAGGCAAGGATCAGGATGCCAGGAGGATCCAATACAGAGAACCAGGCCTGGCCTCCCGGGTGAGGGCTCTCAGGGTTTGCTGATGCTGGAGACTGAGGGGCAGGGAACTGAAGGGACGTATCTCTCTGCTGCCCCCTCTGCCCACTGAGCCCACGGTTGTGTCCCCAGGATGAGCATGGAGACCCAGCTTCCTCAGAGACTCTCACTCACCAGGTACTTGCAGGTCTCTTCTATCACCTGGAGGTGGTCGCTGAGGGTGGTGTGCTTGAACGTGTGGGTCAGGGATGACCAGCCGATGACCTCCACCCATTCAGTGAGGGCCCCTCTACAGGCCTATGGGTGCAGAGAAAGGAACCCCCAAACCCCACTCCTGTGACTGCCAAGGCCAGGGGCTGAGTGGAAGCCCCTACAGCAGGAAGAGAGGGTGAGAGTGCTCAGGGCCAGCCCAGAGGATGCCAAAGCGGTGGACATAACAGCCAAGGCCGGGCTCATGAAGGGAGAGCCAAAGGGAAGGGGCTCTGTCTGCTCTGGCACAAGGGGGCCTGGGGTTGGGAGGACAGACACAACCAGCGTACCTTGACCACCTCGGCGTTGTTGTCCTGTATGCTTAACAGGAGGGGGAGCAAAAATTTATACAGCTCCTTCTTCATGGGGGCTCCTGGCTTGTATTTGATGACCCCGCCCAGCATGTGGCCCATGGCAGAGATGGCTGCGATCCTCACCTGCTCCCTCTCCTGCCATGAAGCACAAAGTGGAGATGAGGGCGTGGTGGTTTTGCTGGCCCTGCCTGGCCCGGCTTCCTTCCCTCCACATCTCTGTCTGCACGTGCAGAGCGCACTGCCTGCACTGTGCGTACTTAATGTGAACGCCGCAGGATTTGCTTCCCTTAGTCATTCTCTTTAGACCCCTAGAACTAGGAAGTCAGTTTGTGAAGGCACAGTCCCAGGGAAACCAAGATCATAGCTTCGATTCTACCATGGACCATATCTACAGCTTACACCTTCCTTCCCTTCTAAGGATCTGGTTTAAGCATGCCATATTTTTCAAAATGCATATTTTTGCCCTAGTTGTACTATGAGTAGAATTAAATCTCCCAGGAATGGTGGCTCATGGCTATAATCCTAGCATTTTGGGAGGATGAGGCAGGAGGACTGCTTGAACTCAGGAGTTCAAGACCAGCCTGAGCAAGTGTGAGACCCTGAGCAAGTGTGAGATCCTACTAAAAATAGAAAAATTAGCCAGTGGTGTGTGCCTGTAGTCCCAGCTACTCAGGAGGCTGAGGCAGGAGGATTGCTTGAGCCCAGGAGTTTGAGGTTTCTGTGAGCTAATGCTGATGCCACGGCACTCTAGCCTGGGCAATAGAGCAAGACTCTCTCGAAAAAAGAAAAGAATTGTTTAAATCTGTATTAATTTGTATGAATTAACAATCACTACAAACAGCTAAGTTCTGTACACTTTTAGGGGAATATTATTAATATATATTAATTGAACAAATATTTCTTGAGCACCTGTTAGGAGCACAGTGCCAAATGATAGAGACATGGTTGGACAAGACAGATTGGAGAGAGTAAGAGTAAGTGGAGAGAGTAAGAGTAAGTGGAGGGAGTAAGAGTAAGTTCTTGAACACAGAAGCAGACTTTTTAACAAGCTGGATGTACATGTTATAGCATAATGGCCAAACAGAGAGATGATTCCTTATTAGTACTTTGACGACAAAAAGAAAGAGAGAAACATCACATGCACAGGAGATGAACATGCGCGATTGAGCATAGCTGTAGTCATCCCATGCCTAGGAGAAATGGTAGAGATATACTTTTGCAGTTCACAATGGATCTGAAACATCAGATGGAATCTCCCCTCCCCAGAGTAATAGAGCATTCCTGAAAGATGAACAGCTGACGGAATTGGAATTAACGTAGAAAGCACAGCCCAGAGTGTGGGCAAGAAAGAGCTACTGCAGGAGAGGGCAGGGGTTCCGGGAGTGCTCTAAGCTTAGGGGCTGTGAGTTAAGAAGTAGAATATGATTCTGGGCAACCAAAAGGACAGTTGTCTGGGGGCTGCAGTTCAGTCCTCTGGTTCAGTTTCTTCCTCCTCCCTGCCCTCCCAATATCCTTACCAATCACCAAGCAGCAGGGGCATGGAACACCCCAGCAAAGCAGGGACTGTGGTGTCCAGATCAAAGGACAGTCCCCTGGGTGTCTGATTCCCCCCCTCCCCCCAAGGAGAGCAGGGAGCCCTAGAGTCAAGAGACTGGCTATGGGCACGTGCAGCTCTCCCCTCGTCCCTGGATGCCCCCCCCATGGCTACTGAAATTGGGCTGCAGTCACAGACGTTGCTTCACAGAGGGCCCGCCGAAAATCCCTCGCATAAAAATGCCACACATCACTTACCAAGGACCAGCAAACATCGAGGAAAAACCAACAGTACAAAACGAAAGAACCAGATGAAAAAAATTTTGTAATGTTTACATCATAAACTGCTAACAACTTAAGACAAATATGAGGCAAAATAAAGACCTTTTCATACCAAGACTGAAAATGTTTACTACTTTCAGACTGACACCCAAGGAACCACAAAGGAAAGGGGAAAAACAGATGCTAGGAGGGAGGAAAGAGCTGTAGGAAGGAAAGCTGACCAAGGAGATTTATAAACATGCGGGTAAATCTAAATAAGCACTGACCGTATGAAATGATGATGATGATACAAAGATCACATTTAGAGATTTAATAAGCAGGTGGAACTAAAATACTAGACATAAATATATATATATGTCTAGTATTGTCTCTATATATGTCTAGTATGGCTCATATATAATGTGGGAGGGAGGGCATGATCAGAATTAAAGCATTCCCATCTTGATGTTGTTTGGATGGAGGGAAAAGATATTATCTTGGCCTCTGTTAAGTCAAGGACAGTACACATGCTGAATTGTAAAAGAACTGAAAGATGGGTGAGTCAGACGTTGACCTGGCCATTTGGGAGTTTCCAGGGTTGCAGAGGAGGTGAGACCTTATACAGAAGTAATTCCAATCCAAGGTTCACAAGTTGGAAAAGTTACGAGTACTGTCAGCAGTTGTCTCGGGGACATTGAGTTCCCTCCAGCTGTAAGGTGCCATGATCTGTAGGAGGATGGGACTTGGGGACAGATGATATTGGTCTGTTGGTCCAAATTTCTGAGTCTCAGATTTCTGCTGCAATGAGGACCCTAGCGTTCTAAGGTGCCTGAATTATCTGGGAGGAGGGTAGAGCCATCAGTCCTCTCCTGCTCTTCACTCCATGAGTGGAATCTGGAGAAGATCCTTGGAGTGAGCACCAACTTCATACCAGTGTGTGAGCTTTCCATGTTGGCCCAGTGGCTCCTCCGGGGAACTTCTGGGGAGAGAGTAAGTGGGGGCGTGTGCTGCATCTCCCTGAGGTAGGGAATGCTCACTTGGGACGTGTCCTGTGCACTGCTCCACGTGGCCAAGTCTCCTTTTGTCTGCGCTCCATGATCTGAGCTTTGGGCCACAGGCCCTTGGCCTAGCCCAGCACCCTTAGTTAAGCCCCAGCCCCAGCCCATGTCATTGCCAACGGGTCCTAGGGACTCAGGTGCATACGTCATTGATGAGGGGACGCAGGTGCGGGCAGATGCTACAGAAGATGCCCTTGATGTCCTCGCCGTGCCCGTGGTGGATGATGTTCCTCAGGCTCTTCACCGCCTGCACTGCCACCCGCACCTCGGCATTCAGGAAGCCTCGCAGGGATGGAACCAGGCTCTTGAGAGCCTCTGACTATTTGGAAGAAGGCAGACATCACCCACCAGCCTGGGCATCACGCAGTGCTCTGGGGACAGGGTCTTGAGCACATAGGTGCCTAAGAGACACAGACACGGGCAACCCGGGGGCTGCACAAGCCAAGAAAATGAAGGCTCCGGGGGTTCAGGCAGCTTGAGGACACACCTAGGTCGGCCCACACTCTGGACGTTGTGATGCCCGAGGATGGGGGTTTGGGGATGTACTAAAACCTGTGCAAACGAGGGACCCAAGGGACCCCACTGGGTCCTCCCCCTACTCTTACATTTCCTGGGTGCAGCGCCAGGTTACTGATTCCCCGGAGGCCAATTTCCTCCATGACGAGGTTAGGATCCTTGATCCACTGGGTTAAGGTGACCAGAAAGCCTTGCCCTTGGGTCTGTGCCACGGATCGGTGCCAGAGGAGCTGTGGGGCAGGAGGCCACGGTTATGATGGAGGAAAGGTGGGGGGGGCCTGTGCTCCCGCAGATGCCCTCAGGCCCCTGCTCAGGCAAGGACTGGTCCTAGTGGGAGCAGAGACAGAGATGTTTGCATGGGGTGCAGACTGGGGGGTAACTGGTAAGACTTGAATTTGGAGCCCAACGCTGGGATCCTTGCATCATTCTGGGAGGACTGGAACTGCTAACTCCCTCCCCAGGCTACCCAATGCCTCCTTGAACCAGGCCCCTGAAGTGCCAGGGAAGGGAACCCCATTTGAGATGGCTTGATTCTCATTCTTTTTCCTCCTCCTTGGGACAAGTTAGTTAACATCCCCCATTAAACATTCAGTTCCTCAGCTACAGGAAATGAATGGCTGGAGCTGTTGACCTCTCCCCAGCTCTCACCTGTGCATAGAAGGCCCTGGCCAGGATCCTCCTACCCTGGTCACTGCTGTTGAGGAAGTTCTTGACAGGGTTCAGGAATCGGTGCAGAACGGAGGGTTCACATGTCTTTACCATTGCACTGGGATGGGACACAGGACGCAAGCAGTTGGTGCCGGTGGGCGAAGAGGCCAGGGACCAGTGTGCACATGGCAGGGGGCTGAGCAATCAGGAGACCGGAGGGCTGGGAGGTGGACATGGCTACAATATTTGAGCACTGGGACCTGGGAGACTGGGGTCAGAGGTCAGAGAGGTGCCAGGGGCACTGGGAAAATGGTCCCACCTTGTGAGGTCCATGATCCCGATATAGTAAGACTTGGGGCTGGACAGAAGCTCCCAGCAGCGATAGTCATTTGCATAGACCACGACTCCCTCATGGGCAGCCGCCAGGAGCACCAACTTCACTACCTTCAGGGCACAACTGAAGGCCACCACCGCCGGGTTTGTGAAAAGAAAAGGACAAAAAGATGGACGCAGTGTCATGCCCAGCTTTGCACTCCTGTGCTGGCGAGCTGGAGGCGGTTCTCAGCCCTGGTGGCTGGGTTCCGCTTCTGCTCCTCTGCGGACAAGAAGTCACGGCTCTATGGCCCGGTATCAGTTGCCCATCCACTCGCCACCCCGGCCCGACCCTCCCCCCACCACAGAGTCCGGCGGAAGACACTAGAGGCACGTCCTAGTGCCAAGGTTTTCAACTTCCGCTCTCCAGGGGGCAAGGGGGGGGGGAAGACCACTCCTCACTCCCTTGCCCACCTAATCAGAGTGTCTCTCCTTTCCTGCTTCTGTTTACATTTTCAGTGAAGATTTCATATGAATGAAGTGTTCCGAGGTTTACAAAAAGTAGTATGACAACCGCTTTTGGAGGAGTCCCGCCCCCGTCTCACAGGTGAGGAAACTGAGTGCTGGCAGGGACTTGCGAGGGTGGTGGCCCACCCTGCGCAAGGGGCTGACACAGCCGGGGCCTGCCGTCTGCCATCTAACTCACTCTTCACGCGGACGGTTACAAGCATTGGGGGTGGGCGCAGTGGGAGTCAGGAGACGTGTGCACACCGTGAAAGGAGTGATGAGAAACCCGACAGTCTGAGGGAATATTCCAGGGCACGAGGCTGCAGCACCCACACCATCTCCTACTTTTCTCTTCCCTGCATCCCTAACGGATCAGCAGCCAGCCGCCCAGGGCTCTTAGGAGCTGACTCCTTGCATTTTCCCATCACCCGGAGGTCAGGCTTACCTGGTGGGGTCCAAGGGCTTGCGCCTGGTGCCTGGGGCCCCCTCCCGGTTGTATACCACCATCTTCTGGGGGGCATTTTGCTGAGTCACCCAGTAGAGATGACACAGCACAGCCAGCAACAGCCGTGGGAAGAGTTCCTGGACAGCCTCCTCGCACAGGGGTACTGACAGCATCTCACACAAGGCACATGTCACCTGGAAAGGGTGGGGGGGGGAGCAGAACTGACCACGCCTGGACCACCGCCTGTCACACTGAAAGCCTGGGCTGGGATCCCGCCCTGTCCCTCCCTAGCACTGCTCAGCGGGCACCGCTCACTCTGACCGGGGCTTCTCAGAAACATCTGACGACAGGACACCCACACCTCACCCCTAGGGAAAGGAGGGGGCCACCCACACGCAATCTGCTTCCTCTTCTGCTCACTTGACATTAGAAATGCAATGGAAACCGAGTCCACATGCTCAGCAGAAGATAATTTCTGGCATAGTTCGTCCACACCAACTCTAGGCACCCAAACCTCTGCCTCTCGTATGCCCCCTGCCACTTCCCCAGGCCCTCTGTAAAATGATGCCAGCCCCAGAATCTGCTTGACCCCAGGTACTGTAAAACTCTGTCCCTAAGCTCCCAGAGCAGGATGTCCAAGGACACCCCCACTTGTACTGACCGCCACAGGCTTGGTGTCCATCTCCCTACTTTCCTCTCTGGAGTGGTTCGTTTCCAGGATGCTGATGAGCCGCAGCAGGACATTGATTGTGGTGTCTTGCTGGGTGCCAAGTGCCCTCCACAGGGCCAGAGGGATTCTACAAGACCCAGGGACAGCAATGTCATGGGCCCTGGTGATCACGCTCTTAGGACGAGTCTGGTCTCAGGCCCATGAAGAGCCAGTTCTCAGGGACTAGAGGGAGTGAGACCAAAGAGGAACTGGCCAGAGGACAAGGAGATGAGGCTGGACTGGGATCAAAGAGAAGGGAGGGTAAGAGACAGCATCCTAGCAGAGGGATTTTCATTCTGGGCTTGGGCCAGGTGCGGGGGGCCTTCCTGGGCTGCAGAATGTGCCCCGGGGCCAGGACACAGGTACCTGTCCCAGGGCAGGGGCCTGTTGAGCAGCATGGGGATGACAGTTCCAGTGTTGCTGCCTGCCAGTGCACACATGACCTGCAGGGTCTCCTCATTTGTGCTGGGCTCCAGCTTTGCGTAGAGACGTTTGAGGATGCCCTCTGCAATCTCCTCAACCTTCAGGGCAGAGCCAGAAGTCCCCATAACTTCTTCCCTGCTTCCTTCCCGCCTTCCTCCTCTATCAGCTCCTCCAACTCAAGGGGCCTAGTTGCAGCCCTGCCAGCGACGCCCTTCCCAAGGCAGAGTTCTGCGGCGCCAGAGGCCAGACCAGCGGGGGCCACGGAAGGAACTCCAGAAGCTGGTGTCAAGGCCCACTGTAGCAGATGTCTGCCCACAGCCCCGAAGTCCGGAGATGAGTGCCCAGGTTGCTCAGGAGGTACAAGACCCCGGGGAGGGAAGGCAAAAGCTTTGAAGACATCTCAGGGCTTCCCCTCCCAGCTGGGATCAACTGTCAACCCACGAATCTGCAGGGGCAGTTGGCATTGGAGGTGGGGGACCCCAGGCTCTGGCCTGGCCCTCAAATTCTTAATGAGCCTCTGGGAAGCCCATTCCAGTGCAGTGCTTCAAAGACACCCGCAGAGTGTCCTTCCAGCTCTGGGACCTAGGCCAGACAAGTCATGCAAATGAGTCAAGGCAACAGGTGACAGGGGATTCAGGGAGAGTAAGAGGGTCTGAGACAGCTCATGCCCATCTATAAAAGGGACAGTGGCCACTCAGAAAGGTGCCCTAGCTGATCCCATTTTCAAATTTTTTTCAGTGCAGTGGGAAATGTAGATTGTTATGCAAAACCCTCCCATTTATACGTTAACCTAAAAAAAAGGATAATGCTTTCAACGGTAAGAGTCTATTCCATGAGCTGACTGATTTGCAATCCACCGTCTAAGCCCCTAATCCACCGTCTAAGCCCCTGAAACCCCAGGGAACCAAGGCAAATGCCCTCAACGGTGTTTCCCTGTGCTCGGGCTATTTGGCCTTCAGCCGCCAACAGCCCTGCACATGGTGGGGTTAACTGAGGGGTCAGTTTTGAGCTCAGGATTGCAAACGACACAGCTCTGTGGGACCACAGAGAACATCTACTTTGGGCCTACATTTTTTTTTTTTTCCTTTCTTTGAGATAGAGTCGCACTCTGTCACCCTGGGTAGAATACAGTGGCATCATCATAGCTTACTGTAACCTCCAACCCCCGGGCTCAGGTGATCCTCCTGCCTCAGCCTCCTGAGTAGGTGGGACTACATGCACACACGACCATGGCTGGCTAATTTTTTCTATTTTTGGTAAAGACTGGGTCTCGCTCTTGCTCAGGCTGGTCTTGAACTCCTGACCTGAAGTGATCCTCCCACCTTGGCCTCCCAGAGTGCTAGGATTATAGGCCTGAAGCACTGCAGCCGGCCTGAGCCTACATTTTATAGGTGAGTCAATTAAGACCAACGGCAGAGAAGGGACTTCCCTTCATCTGGTTAGTACTAGAGCCAGGAGAGAGCCCCGGGCTCCTGATTTGCAGGGCAGAGCTCTTGCCACGGTGCCGCGCTCACCTCTAGCACGTCCCCACCCCGCTCTTTCATGACCGCGCTCATCAGCTGGGCAGTAGCCAGAGACAACTTGGCCTTGCTGTCGGTCAGGCCCTCCGTGGCCTTCAGCACCATGTTGGTGAGCTGGCTCTGGGTGAAATACTCCGCGAATGCCTGCAACAGGGGCCGTGGGTCTTGACTCGCCCGGGCCTCCTGCCTCAGATGGCCCGGACCACCCTTCCTGGGAATGAGGGCGAAGCCCTCTCAGGAGCAAGATGCACATTTGTCTCGGGCCTGTGCTGTCTGCCAAACTCCCAGAGGACACTGTCACTAGAGACAAAGACTTTGGGGATGGGAGGCAGAAAACACTGACCTCAGGTGCAATGTGGGGCTCAGAGGTCAGAGTCTACAGAGGCAGAGCAGTGGGAGAGAGGGGCTGGGGCTAGGGTCCTTGTTTTTTTTGTTTTTTTGAGAAAGAATCTCACTCTGTTGCCTGGGCTAGAGTGCCGTGGCGTCAGCCTAGCTCACAGCAACCTCAAACTCCTGGGCTCAAGCAATCCTGCTGCCTCAGCCTCCCGAGTAGCTGGGACTATAGGCATTCGCCACCATGCCCAGCTAATTTTTTCTATATATATTTTAGTTGTCCAGGTAATTTCTTTCTATTTTTAGTAGAGATGGGGTCTTGCTCTTGCTCAGGCTGGTCTTGAACTCCTGACCTTGAGCGATCCTCCCACCTCGGCCTCCCAGAGTGCTAGGATTATAGGCGTGAGCCACCACGCCCTGCCAAGGCTCTAAGGTCCTTAGGAGTTTGGACTACACATTGCTCAGGAAGCACCATGAGCATGAAACCAGTGCTGCTGGGGGGATGGGCTGTGACTAAGGGCCAGGACCCAGCACGCTCAGGGGAGAGTGTGTGGGAGCCCCAGGACTGGATCTTCTATTGCATAGGGGCTGTCCCCTAAAGAAAACCTTCATAGCCAGTCACGGAGAGGGAAGGCAGGAGGGATACAAGAGTCCCACCCAAGGGGGCTAGAACATCATATAACGAGAGGCTCCAGCTCTCCCTACTTTGTCTCTGTGCCCCCTCACCTCTCCGATCTTAAAGGTGTTGTTATAAAAGATGTTGGCACTGTAGACTTCATTCTTGCCCTCTTCTTCCCACAAGCCTTGGTTTTTTCTTTTCATCTCTGAAACAAAGACCCCCAAGCCCACTCCTCAGACACTCAGAAGGAAGGATTCTTTAGGCTGCCCTTTCCCTCCTTTCGGGGACCTGGCCTAGCTCGAGGTGACTGCTGGGCTAAGCCGGCTTGGAGAGAGGTGGGGGCTGGCAGGGGAGGAACAGACCTCACGATACAGGATGCTGATGGCTCCTGTCTAAGGAGTCCCATGGTGCCTGCCTCAGAGCAGAGATAGAATCAGGTAAGAGCATGAGGCTCCGCCAGGTGGGCGGAACGAATTCAAAGGTACTCTTTCCTGAGGAGGTAATTTGTCCCAGGAGGGTCACTGTAGGTGTTTGGGGGCAGGTCCTTCCATGAAAATGAGGTACTCAGGTAACTTCTAGGCCCTGGCTGTTCTGGAAGAGAGGTGTGGGGATGGCCAGGCCTAAGGGCGAGGCTGGAGGGGAGGGGCGGGGGCGGCGGGGAAGCTGTGCCTACGCTTTTGCAGCAGGAGGACAGAGTAGAGGTTGTAGACGGCCTCGGCAGACAAGAAGCAGATGTTGTCCACTGGGTCCTGGCAGCGCACGGCCAGCATCCTCACCAGCTGCCCCAGCCGGGTGAACTGAATTTCCGTCTGGGGAGGAGGGCTGGGAGTCACAAGTTATCCCAGCCATTCTTTCAGGCTTGACTGTCACAGGAGAAAAACTAGGAGGAGGGGGCGACACATGTGCTGCAGACCTGAGTGCTGAGACTAGGTGCAGGGAACAAGGAAGGAATTAGGCGAGGTGTGGCTGGCAAGCGTGTACACCGGCATAGCTGGGGCAGGACCTGCCACTCTTCCCCCTTCTCTGCTGCTGGACACCCCACTCATCCTCCAAGCCCAGCTCTATTGCATCCTCCTCTACGAAGCTTTCCTGGATTCCTTCACTTGCGATTATTTGTGTTTCCATACCTTATTCCCACCACATGTGGTCTGCATGTTCATTATCACCTTCAGGGAACTGTCTTGGTCATCTACGTATCCACTATGGCAACTAGCACAGTGCCTGGCCCAAGGCCAGTATCCAGTGACTGCTTGTAGAGGTGAATGGAGACCAAACGAGTGGAATGGAATGATTTGGCGGAGGGACAAACAGACCAATTGGAAGACGTGGGGGTGGTGGACAAGCAGGAGAGAGGAGAGAACAAGATGGGAGGCACAGGAGAAAACAGAGTGTGGGGCCAGGGAGACAGAGGCTGAGGCTGAGTGACTGAGGCCAGGTGACAGATCTGATGAAGCTGGGGACAAAGGTAGGGGTGAGGGGGACCAGAGGGGCCCCAGGGCTGCCCAGGCTCTGGGGCAGGGGGACCACTCACTTTGAAATTACTCATTTTTACAGTAAAGCCGAGAATACGGGCAGCACACCACATGGCCCGTTCCCGCTCATGGTCCTTCTGGGAATTCAGCCACGTCTCCAGAAGCTGCAGGGAGAAGAAGATGAAAGGAGAGGCCTGATCAGCTGCATCCCAGAGCAGAGAGAGGTAACTGTGAAGTCTGGCTTCTGCGAAGTATCAGGGCCATACTTCGGAGAGCAGGACTTCTTTGGCCTAGAGGCGCATGGGACGTGAACCAGAAGCCTTCATTCTCCCAGCCCCCAATTCTCTCCTTCTCTAGGTGCTAGAAATCTCCCCACTGGTGCCTCTTTCTTTCAGGTTAAAGCAGCGACTCTCAAATGATACTGACCGGGGCTCACCTTAATGTGTCAACATATCCCACAGTTCCCCTACCCATCTCTTCTCATCCTTCTGTAAAGAAAGAACTTGGTGATAAGAAAGAAGTATCTCTGTAGTCACAGATTCAGGGTGGGTTATGTGCCAGTTGTTGGAGAAATATAATTATGGATGATTCCTATTTGAAACACAATGCGTGTCTTACCAGTGGTACATTACCGGCCAGAAATACCACTGATCCAAATGCACACTGCTCACATGTCAACCTGCAGCAACGGATCTGACAATGATACAAGTAAACAAAAGGTGATTTATAACTGAAAAGGAAGAATGGCAGTAGAGGAAAAAATCCACAACCAACTCAAGACAATACTGATGCCACATGGATTAATTTAAAAAACAAAACAAAACAAAACAAACCACCTGTTCTTGTAGCCAGACTCTGATGAAATGCCCAAGCCAAGACTGTGATTTCTAAATACCATTTTTCACAAAGAGGAACCATAGTTCCTTGAAAAAATAGCTGATTCCAGGCCAGAGATGGAAAGTACACAGTACATTATACTGTAAAGTAAGGACGTTCTTGGAAATTCCTAGAGTCATGTTAAAAGGACTCAGGAGCTAACTGGGAAAGGCTCCCATTGTCAAAAGATAGGACAATTGTGGCATCAATTATAATAAAAGTTCTCATTGATGAAAACACATCAAATATTTTAAAATTCATTTTAAATTCAAATGATACTATAAGACTACCTGCGAAGTAATCTTGCTAAAAATTAATTCTGAATCTGATCAAGCCTCTAGATCTAATAATCTCTAGGAAATACTAGGGTGGAGGAACTTGTTAAATGACCCCAAAATGAGGTAAGAAGCATAACTCAGAATGTGGAAAATTTATAGAAGAAATGACTTGGTTTCTTCAACAAATAAATTTCAAGGAAAAAATGACATAAGGAAAAACTACAGAAAAGACTTAAGCAACAGACCAGCAGGAATATAAGCACCTCATTTAGGACCTGATTTGAAGTGAACAGATTCTTTTTTTTTTTTTTTTTTTTTGAACAGGAGTTTCACTCTGGTTGCCTTGGCTAGAGTGCCGTGGCATCAGTCTAGCTCACAGCAACCTCAAACTCCTGGGCTCAAGCACCTCAGCCTCCCGAGTAGCTGGGATTACAGGCATGTGTCACCATGCCCGGCTAATTTTTTCTATATATTTTTAGTTGGCCAATTAATTTCTTTCTATTTTTAGTAGAGACGGGGGTCTTCGCTCTTGCTCAGGCTGGTTTTGAACTCCTAACCTTGAGCAATCCTCCTGCCTCGGCCTCCCAGAGTGCTAGGATTACAGGCGTGACCCACTGCACCTGGCCCAAAGTGAACAGATTTTTTAACAAATATATTTGTGACACATTCGGGGAAAATTAAGCATTGTCTGAACATTTACAATACTAAGAAATTAAAGTTATATTTTTGAGACAGGGTCTCACTGTGTCATCTGGGCTAGAATGCAGTGGTGTCACCGTAGCTCACTGCAACCTCAAACTCCTGGGCTCTAGTGATCCTCCCACCTCAGCCTCCCAAGTAGCTGGGATTACAGGCATGAGCCACTGCACCTGGCCTACATTTTAAATATAATAATGGTAGCACAGTTATACTTTAATATAATCTTTATCTTTGATAAATATGCTAAAATATTTATGGATAAAATGGTATGGAATTTGCTTCAAAACAAGCCAGAGGTACAGAAGTTGGAGAATATGTGAGGTGCAAATAAAATAGGACTGGCCATGACTGGTCTCTGAAGCTGGGTGACGGCTGTACGTGGGCTCCTGACTTCATTAGCTCTACTTTGGTTGATGTCTGAGATTTTCTAGGATAAAAAAATTTAGAATATAAGAATGGAAAATTTGGAACAGTAAATGTAGGGACCCTAAGAGAACTGCTAAAAGGAAGAGACATGATACCAGGAGGAAAGTTGGAACATCAGGAATGAAGGAAGAGGAATAGAAATGGCAAGTATCTGGGTGAATACAATAGGCTCTTCTTTGATGAATTGTGTGAAATATGTTGGATGGCTCAGAGAAAATGTTATAAAGTTGGCGGACGAGGTTTTACTGAATGCAAATGTAACACCTAAGACAAATCCAGCGTAGAGCGAGGGAAGAATCAAGGGGTCTATATGCTGATCGAGTCTCCACCTTCCACTGGAAAGGGTAAAATATTGATTCTAGGTCGTCTGTGAAAAGTTAAGTGTGTATATGGTAATGTCTGTGGAAACCCCTATAAAAACTATACGAAGAGATGGAGTAAAAAAGCCAATAGGTAAGTTAAAATGTAACATTAAAATGGGAAAATAACCCAAAGAAGGCAAGAAAGAAGAAGGAGAGGAAGAAAGGTCAGAGGCATATTTCAAACAAACAGAACACCAATAATAAAGTAGTAGACCTAAAACCATTCTCAATAATTTCTTTAAACATAAATGATCTAAACATGCCAATTAAAAGACACTGATTGCCAGAATGAATTTTTTAAAAAATGTGCCTACTGAATGGATTTTAAAAAGGATTGACTGTATGTTTGTTGTGGCAGTGTGTACAGCTAGTGCTACAGCTCTTGTTCATTTGACCGGGGAAAGAATCGAGTGGCACAGGAAGAGTCGGAGAACAGCCTTTATTCTTCTACAGCAGGCTCAGCACACCTAGAGTTACAGCTCTCTTCGTGTCTTCTGATGTTCTCCCCTTGCTGCCCTTCTGCCCCTGCTTTTATACCCTTGGTAGGGCTCAAGAAGCGTCCAATCAACTACAAGCTTTAACATCCAATCAACAACAAGCTTTAACATCCAATCAAAAACAGTGGGATTCCGAAATTACCCAATCAGGATCATGCAAACAGCATGGCCGGAAACAGGCAGTGGCACGTGGGCCTGGGGTCCCGGTGGCACATGGAGTCCCAGCAGCAGGCGGGTGTCCCCGGCGGCTGTGTGCCATGGGGCCGGCCCCAGAAGCATGCCTCTAACTGGCCACGCGCAGCAATGGCCCCCGGAGATGCGGAACTACGGGGAAGCGGCAATTGGCCGAGTCCTGGCGCCCACCATTTTCCGCATCATGTTAAAAGTAAAAGGGTGGATAAAGATATACCATGGAAACAGTAATAAAAAGAGAGGTAGGGTAGCTATAATAATAACAGAAAAATAAGACTTCATAACAAAGACAATTACCAGAGATAAAGAGGATATTTCATGATAATAAAAGGTCAGTTTACAAAGAGGATATAATAATCCTAAATGTGGATGCACTTAACAACAGAGCTTCAGGATACATGAAGCAAAAACTCACAGAACCAAAAAGAAAAATAGCTGAATCCACAGTTTTAGTTGGAGACTAACATTTCTCTCTCAGTAAACAACAGAACTAGTAAACAAAATCAGCAAGAACTGAACACCACCATCAACTGGCATTTTAGAATACCCTATCCAACAAAAGTAGAATACATATTCTTTTCAAGTGCACATGGGACATTCACCAAGATAGGCCACATCTTGCTTCATAAAATAAAACTTTAACAAATTTAAAAGACTTAAAATCATACAAAGAAAGGATATGGACAGCAAACACACATATGACAATATAATCAACATCATTAGCCATTAGGGAAATGCAAATGAAAACCACAATGAGGTATTACTATACCTGTTAGAAAGGATAAAGTAAAAAATCACATCAAGCGCTAGCAAGAATGCAAAGAAACTGCACACCTGACACATTGGTCTTGTGAGCATAAAGTGGTATGGCCACTCTGAAAAATAGTTGGGCAGTTTCTTATAAAACTAAACATGCACTTACCCCATGAGTCAGCAATTTATCCCAGAAAAATAAAAACTTACATTCACAAAAAAACATGTACATGAAAGTTCACAAGAGCTTTCCTCATAGTAACCCCCAGTGGGAAACCACTCAAAAGTCTTTCAATGGGTGAATGATTAAATAAACTCTAGTGTGTCCATACAACACAAAATCACTCCAGAATAAAAGGAAATAAACTATTGATGCATGCAAAAAGTTGGAGGGTCTTGAGAGCAGGAAGCCAACGTCAACAAAGGTTACCTGCTCTCTGATTCCCTGTACATAGCATCCTCAAAAGGGCAAAACCAGAGAGCTGGAGAAGAAATTAGTGGTTGCCACCAGGGGACAGGAGGATGTGATTAAAAAGGGGTCACACAAGTGAGTTCTGCTTGGTGATGAGCCAGTTCTACATCAGTGATGGTGGCGACGCTGGTTACACCACACTGTGCATGAGTTCAAAGTTTGCAAAGGTCGGCTGGGCACAGTGGCTCACGCCTGTAATCCTAGCACTCTGAGGTGGGAGGATCGCTCAAGGTCAGGAGTTCAAGACCAGCCTGAGCAAGAGTGAGACCCCGTCTCTACTAAAAACAGAAGGAAATTAGCTGGACAACCCAAAATATATAGAAAAAATTAGCCGGCATGGTGGCGCATGTCTGTAGTCCCAGCTACTCAGGAGGCTGAGGCAGGAGGATCGCTTGAGCCCAGGAGTTTAGGAGGTTGCTGTGAGCTAGCCTGATGCCACGGCACTCTATCCCGGGCAACAGAGCAAGACTCTGTCTCAAAAAAAAAACAAAAGAAAACAAAAATTGAGCGCAGGTCAAAACTGTGAGCACTGAACAAGGTCTGTAGTCTAACACTAGTGCCCGCTGCCCATTCCCTGCTTGTGATAATATACTGCTGTTACAGAAGATGTCACCATGAGGGGAGACTGGGTGAAACATCCAAAGAAGGAGATCCATTATTTTCACAACTCCTTGTGAATCTAAAATCATTTCAAAATAAAAGAAGAAAAATAGCAGTAAAAAGATTGGAAACAGCCCAATGTCCGTCTCCAGGGGACTGATTGGATGAACTCTATCTAGTACATCCACACAAGCCGTGCCACCGCAAGATTATAAAGACTGCGTCTGCGAACTGATGTGGATAAATGAAAAAAGCAAAGTTGGGGACACTGGGGAGAAGGCACGGCCTGCTGTGTGGGACAGAGAGGGACACAAGAATGCCCCATAACACAAATCTGCTTCCTGGGACAGTACAAACAAGCAGCACAGATCAGAAGCTGATCTCTAGGGAGGGGACGGGAAGTGGGCTAAGAGGATTGATGGGAACAAGACAGCTCCGAGGACTTTAGCTTTAGGTTTTCAGTTATGTCAGTACTGACATCATTAAAATATGCAATTAAATTAAAAGAACAGAAACTCTAAAATGTATCAATTTGACGCCATAACCACACAAATAATCATCTCAACTAATTTTCAAAGAAAATACTTTGCCCGGACTCCTCAGTGATCTCTTACTCTGACAACCAAAATAGGTGCAAAGGAAACTTAAACTTCATGTGATAATTGGGGAACAGGATACTCAAGAAAAGGCCAAAGCATCACATTAGCATAACGTCAGCCATAAAAAAGATGACTTAATTAAAAATGGGCAAATTACTAGAAGTCGAGCTTTGTTCTTTTGAGTGGAGCATTTTATAGACATTCTCACGCGGTTATCAGCACAACTGCATGAGCCAGGTACTACTGTCACCCTGTTTTCCCAGAGAAAAGTGAAGCATTGGGACGTGAGTCTCCAAGGCCACATAGCTAAGGGCAGAAGCAGGCAGAGCAGGTGTGGAGGCACAGAGCCCATGCTTCTCACCTGTGACTGCTCTGCAGGGGCAGAGGGGGTGGGGAGAAGGTGGCCACAGCACTGGCTGTGGAAGAAGGAAGAAGGAAGAAGGAAGAAGGAAGAAGGAAGAAGGAAGCATTTCTCCTGCAAGGGAGAAAACCAAACCCTGATCACCTTTCCTCAAAGCTCTGCACCCAACCTTCATCCTCAGTCCTTGGCCCGACTGTTCTGTTCCCAACTGTACTGAGGTGACAAAAGTCACACCCACCCAGAACCTCAGAGTGTGACCTGGTTTGGAAATAGGGTCCTTGCTGAAGTCATCAAGGTAAGGTGAGTTCACACTGGGTTTACAGTGGGCCCTACCTAATCCAGCGACCGCTGTCGTCATAAAGGTGACAGACGCACACACACACATGCACGCGCAGGAGAGTACGCCATGTGAAAATGGGGGAACAGACTGGAGTGAGGTGTCCACGAGGCAAGGGACGCCACGGGTTGGCAGGAGTCACCAGAAGCCAGGGCAGAGTTATGGAACCCAAGACCAGATTCTCCCTCAGAACCTGCGGTTTTCAGCCAGCCAGCGGAGGCGCCCTGTTGAGCGAGCCCGAGGACACAGACACGCCCGCCTCCAGGGGGTTCCTCCCCACTGACCTCCAGGCTTGTCTGGACCTGACTGGGCCTCCCGGTGAGCAGCGCTTCCAGGAGACTCCGGAGGGATTGCAGGGTCATCCTGAGCAGCTCCTGAGGAGCGAAGAGGGACTCACAGTGCCTCTGAGGTAGCAGCCCGCCCTCCTCCTACACTCTGCTCTCGCTTGGCACCCCAAGGCTTCCTTGCTGGCGTTTGCCCTGCATTTCCAAGTGCCGTTTGCCCGCCATTGACTGGAATGAATTCCTGTTGTTTTCACCAGGGCACAGCGTCTGCCTGGGGTGCGGCTCCTGGGAGTGCCTGACAGGTGGTCCCCCAAACCCCTCCACCCCCCACTTCCTACGCTGTGCTCTTCCAGGGCTTTGCTTCCCGGGGAGATGCCTTTGTCTGTAGCTTTGCCCGGAGACCAGCCATTCCCAGGGAGGAGAGAGGGCTGGCCTGGTGTCTGCGGGCGACTGACAGACAGACAGACAGCGGGACGGTGCCCTTCCCCTCTCGCCCTTGCACAAAGTCCACGGCCCTGCCCAGCCACACTCTAAGGAAAGCAGGTGGTCTGCCCACGAGGGCTCCTACAAGGCAGTCGTGGGCCTCCAAGCTGACAAGAAGGAAAGGCAGCTCGCGGCGGAGGGCAGGCCTGGAAAGGGATCCAGCCAGAGGAGTGAAGCCGTTCCTCTGGCAGCCGGGACCCCGGCCCGCCGCAAACACAGGGAAGCCCCGGCCCAATGCCCCCCAAGGTAAACAGACCACCTGACCCCAGGAATCCAAACTGGTTCAGTACATAGTAGAAAATGTTTCAAAACATTCTTGTTAATAACTTCAGAGAAATCCAAGAGAGTTACTTATTAATAACTACAGAGAAATTCTCACTTCACTGGGATCAGTGAAGTAAGAACGACCAGTCAAGAGAAAGGGTCAGAGGACACGAGAGAGTTCCGAGGAAGGAAACGTGAGAGTGCAAACGTCAACCCGGATCCCTCTTCGCTCCCTCGGGGAGCACCTGGCCCTGCGGGATGCGGACGCAGATCTACTCCTGGGACTCCCCGAAGTCCTGTACCCGTGTGCCTCGAGTGAAACCACATTTGAATCTTCCAGATTGGTTTCAATTGTGCGACAGTTATGAAGGGCAGGGCAGAGTGTCCACCTCTGGGCCAGAACATTCAAGGGGTGGCAGGGGTCGCCTAAGGCGGGAGTCAGTCTCAGGGTCCACCCAGACTGCCTGTAACCCCCTCCTCCTAGCACAAAATATTGTTTTTGGTAAAGACGGTGGAAGATCCTTTTATAAGACCATCAAACCTATACTTCAGGCCCTCTCAGAGACAGACATTAAAACAAGGCGACGGCCGTCAGATGGCTCCTTACCGCGCTGGCCTGGCCCTGGGTGGGGTAGGACGCCTCCTCCAGCAGGCCCTCCGTGGGGGGCAGGCAGAGCACGGCCTTGTAGCACGTGAGAAGGAATTCTGTTTTGCTGTCTATGTCCAGGAGCGGCTCGAGCTTCCTAAGGTCCAGGGCGAAGCAGAGTCTGACCAGAGAGCGGTGGCCCGGAATGACACTTGGGGAAAGGAAGGCGGGTGGTGCGGAGAGAGATGGTGGAGACAGAGGGGAGGGCAGGAGCAAGAACCAGGGAGACACCAGGGGAAAAGGGAACTGAAAGAGGAAAAACAAGGACACAACAGCAAAAGGCAGAAGGGACCAGGGAATGGAAAGAAAGGGCCGAAGGGAGGGAGAGCAGGCACAGCAGGCACAGCGACTGGTGGCAAGGGCTCCTGGTGTTTGGGGTGACATACTGCTTGCTGGTTCCCCAGACATCTGGAGGGAATGGAGGGGACAAGGATGGATATGGGGGGGTCTAGTAGGGACAGTACTGGAAGCAGAAGAAAGCCTGGGGTGGAGGTGACAGCAAGGCCCTGCGGAGATGGGGAGGCAGGTGCCCAGCCAGGCGCTGGTGAGGTCCCACCTGCAAAATCTTGATGACAGAAAGGGCAGACATTGTCCAGTGGATGCCTGCCACTTCCTAGGGACCTTTATATTAGAAGCCGGGGCAGAGACTGAGAGGTAGGAGGGGCCGGGGAATAAAGAGTTGTAATCAAGCCAGAGCGAGGGAGACAGTGCGGGTGGTGCGTTGCTACCTCAAGTCGGTGACGATATTCATGGCCTTCTGCCTAATGGGGCTGGAGATGCAGTCCAGTGGCTCCTCCCTGATTAGCTCCTGTGACACCCCCGTCCCCAGAGACCAGGAGGACCGTGAACTCATTTGTCTTGCCTGCCTCCCCGCTGCCCCCAGGCCCTGCTCACAAGAAGGTGGGGCTGAAACCTTCAGGGACTTCCAAGGACTGGACTCAGAAGGACACTAGGTCTCTCCTACTCCCACCTACACTTGCCCCACAATACTTACCCCTACCTTGAGGACGGAAAAGGGAGAAGTATGGTATGAAAAGGAAACTGGGAAGTCTGGGTTTCTGTCCTCCAGGCCCAGCCTAGGAGCCTTGAGGGTTTCCATGGGGACCACCCTCCCTCCCCTCTGCGCTCCCCTTCCTCCTGGGAGGTACTCACCGCCATGCAGGCTACAAGGTCTAGTTTGTGGGGAAACTTGTATGACGGGTGGATGATCTGGCTGCTCAAGGTGCTTGTCATCTGGGCCAGGGCGTCCAGGTAGCTCAGCCTCAGAGTCGTATCCTGAACCAACCAGTGTGCTCAGGGTCCTCCAAGGGTAGGAAAGATGCTGGGGCCAGGGACACCTGCCCACGTGCCATCTGGGGGGTGAGGGGCAGAGCCTCCCGTACCTTCCCTGGCCTGAGGCCCTGCATCTTCCCTGTGAGCACAGCTAAGGAACAGGGACAGCCTGTGGCAGCCCAGCAGGGGAGCTCTGACGTTAGGGCGGGTCTAGCTTCCTTGTCTCTCAGGATCCTGTCTCCCCACTGAGCACATTCTACCCTGAGCATGGCCAGCTGGGTGGCAGGTAGACAGGGAATGGGAAGTGTGGCTCCCCCTGCCCTAGGGACATGTGCTCTGGACAAGCAGCAAAGGCAGGGAAGGTGTCTGGGGCTCCCTCCATCTCCCCTGCATGCTTCTCCCAGTCAGAGGTGCAGAGCAGCAGGACAAAGACGCTGAGGACTGTGTGCGGGGGGGAGTGGCAGCCACTGAGAGGGCTCTGCCCCTGAGCTGCGTTCCAGGCTGGGCATCTTTCCCATGCAGGGAAGAGGGGCACGGGCCGGGCTGCGTGCGGGATGCACCGTGAGCAGGAAGTACCTTTTCCACAACACAGTTGTGGTAGTGGTGCAGGACCAAGGCCAGGATGGCATCCAGGTGACTGAAGAGGGCCTCCTGCCTCTTGGAAATCATCCTGCTGTAGCTTAAGTAGATGGTGCTACAGACCAGCCCCCACTCCCTTTGCTGATGTTCCTGTAGGGGGAAGGCGGGACTTGCCTTCTCCTTCCTCAGCCTCCTTGCTGGACTGGGACATGGAGGCTCAGAGAGGAGACCACCCAGAGGGCATGGGGGGAAGATGGGGCTGTGGAATGGGGAATGATTTTCTGGGGGGGCAGGGGAGCTGGTGACAGCAGGGCCTGAAGCATGGGCATGAGGCAGCCAGGGGAAGGGCGGGGAGCAGAACGCTTAACCAGAGGGACAGAGAAGCTTTCAGGGGGAGTCAAAAGCCTGGGAGAGGCGGGGAGGCTGCGTGAGGGGAGGCTGAGTGCGGGATGCTGGCAGCACTCCTGGAATGCCGTCACCTTCATCAGTTTGAGGATGGACAATGTGTCCTTATCGGTGAGTTTAGTGCTGTAGGCTTGCAGTTGGTCCAGAACTGTCGTCAGGTGCTTCTGGGACACGATACTGAGTGTCACGGCGATGCCCTGTAACAAGGACAGCCCCTGCCCCATGCCACAGCTGAGGGTGAGCTGAGCCCCCGCTGTGCTGGCAGGACCAGGGGTTCAGGGTGGGGGGGGGAAGGAAAGGGCAAGAAAAAAAGATGGGAGGGAAATTGGGTCCCATAGGCTGGAACTGTTTAGAACCCAGATGGGGAAGGAACACCCTTGCAAGAAGGAATTTTTTTTTTCTTTTTTTTTTTTTCGACAGAGTCTTGCTTTGTTGCCCAGGCTAGAGTGAGTGCCATGGTGTCAGCCTAGCTCACAGCAACCTCAAACTCCTGGGCTCAGGCACTCCTGCTGCCTCAGCCTCCCGAGTAGCTGGGACTACAGGCATGCACCACCATGCCCGGCTAATTTTTTCCATATATATATATTTTTATATATCTATATATCTATAAATATATCTATATAAATATATAATCTATATCTATATCTATATAAATATATATATTTTATATATAAGTATATAAAATATATATATATTTTTATATATATATTCTTTCTATTTATAGTAGAGACGGGGTCTTGCTCTTGCTCAGGCTGGTTTTGAACTCCAGACCTCGAGCAATCCGCTCGCCTTGGCCTCCCAGAGTGCTAGGATTATAGGCGTGAGCCACCGCGCCCGGCCACAAGAAGGAATTTAAAGGGCCAATGATTCCAGATGATGAAAAATTAGGGTCACAGATGTGGCAAATCTTGGGAGTCTGGAGTGCTACGTTGCAGAACAGAGCCCGCTCCTGTGCACTCAGATTTCAGAAAAGGGTGTCTGAGGTGGGCCAGGAAGAGAGGAACAGATCCGAGGCAGGACTGGTGGCAGATCAGAGAGGGGAGGGGAGATGGGACAAGGGAGACTCCCAGACAGTGCCACTGCTTCTAGTCTAGGAGGACAGGGAACAGCAGGAACCCCGAGCACAGCGGGCAGGTGGAACAGGAGAGGAGACCTGTCTGGGGTGGAGGAGGGCACAAGGAGGGAGTTCTGGGCGTGTCGTATGTGACACAGTGATATGACAACTCAGTGAACATGCCCTCAGTGGCTGACGGGTCTGACAGCTGGGGCTCTGAGGGCAGATGTGACAACCTAGCAGGAGCCGGAAGATCAAAGGGACGCTTGGGGATGGGATCGCCCCTGCCAGGATCAGTGTTTAACTCAAAGTCCTTTGGCTGAAGCGTTTGTCAGCCAAGCCTGCCTGGAGCTCACCGCAGAGGGGAACTGGCAGGGAGCTTAAGGGGTGCCCAGGGCAGAGATGCAGGCGGCAGCTGTTTCCCACCAGAGAGTGTCTGCTTCTTCCCATGGGAGGGGCCACCATGAAGAGTCTGCAGCACAGGAGGCAGCGTGGGGAGAACGGGGACAGCAGCAGCGGCCCAAGACACACAGGTCCTCAGGAGGGGACAAAGTGCTCGTGGACTTGGAGACTTTTGGCCTCCAAATAGGTAAAGGGAAGGTTTTGCCTAGTTAGGAAGCAAGGACTAGCAGAGCACCAGACAGGGTTCTATTCTGTCCCTCTTCTCATGCCTTGCCTTACCCATGGGCTTCCACGCTGCATGGTCGTCACCATCGTAATAACTCACCATGTCAGTGCTGGCCTTGTGCCACTGATCCTCACTTTAGCCCAGTGATCCTCACACTCAAGCTTGGGGGGATATTATCATCCCCATGTCACAGACAGGGAAAATATAGTGGTTCCCAAATCTAGACACCCCGCTTTATCTGAACTCCAGATCCACATGGTGATGGACGTCTCCACCTGGCTGTCCTGGGGACCCCCACCCCTCCTGTCCAAGACAAGGCACCATCCTCCTGCCCCCTTTTCTCCTGGACATGCTATCTCAGGGAAGGACACTATTGTCCTCCCAACTGAGCACGCCAGAAACCCAGGCCCCATCCTGGAGTCCTCTTTCCTCTTATCTTTATTCCTGTGTGCAGCCTATTCCCAAGTGCTGGCAGAGGGGTTGCTGGGACTTCCTTGTCACAGAACTCTGCCCCCCCCCCCGAGCCTTTAGAAAGACTCTTCTGGGTAGTGAGGGGTTTTCTTCCAGTCCACGTCTTGTCTCCCCAGCGACACTGTCTGCTACCTGGGCTCAGGACGGAGCTGACGATAGGTGTGATGGTGAGGGAGGGTGCCCTGGCGAGGGGAGGCAGGAGGGCATTGCCAACATCCTCCAAAATGCCCTAGGACACGCAGATCTTCTGTGTCATTCCCGCCAAAAAATACAGACACAGAATCTCGTCGTGAGCAAACAGGACACAGACCAAGAAGGAGGGATGTTCTACAAAATAAATGGTCTGGACTTCTTTAAAAATGTCAAGATCATGAAAGATAAAGACAGAGGAATAGTTCCAAGTTTAAAATGATTAAACAGAAATGACAACTAAATACACTATGGGATTATAAATGAGATCCTGGACCAGAAAAATCATTTTTTCTTTGGCTCTGAAGCACATTGCTTGGACAGTTGGCAATTCTTGAATCAGGTCTCTAAGCTGGATAACAGCACCGTAGCAATGCTAGTGCCCTGACGTTGATCACTGTGTTGAGGTTACCTAAGAGAATAGCTTTCTTTTTAGGGTAACACCCACTGATATATTTGAGGTCAATGGCTACCACGTCTGCAACTTCCTGGAATGACCCATAAAATAAAATAATAACATGGATATATGTGGAGAGGGAGAAGGATGATTCCGTCATGGGAAAAGGTTAAGATTTGGGGAATCTGGGGTTACAGAAATTCATTGCGCTATTGCTTGTTTTTGTGTTTGCTTTTTTGTAACTTTTGTATAAGTGTGAATTCATTCTAAAATAAAAAGCTTTTCAGAAAATGTTCTATGAGGAAGGCACCATAGCCTCATCTTACAGAGGAAGAAATGGAGGCGCACGCAGGTTCAATATCACCTGGCAAGGGCGCACGGCTAGTAGGTGGCCGAGGTGAGATTCCAACCCACGGGGTCTGGCTTGCCAGGCCTGCGCTTTTGGCCAAGCTGGCCATCCTGCTGCTAAAGCTCCAAGCGACCCCCGTTTGCCTCTGCCTCACCTCCCTCTCCCGCAGCTCCTCGTGCGAGGTGTGTAGGAGGGCCGAGAGCATCGTCTGCAGCAGTTTCGAATTCCTGGAGGTCCGCAGGGTGAAGCCAAAGAATTTGTATAGGAAAGCCTAGGGTGGTGGGAGGGCAAGGTCAGGCCTCGCTTGGAATGAGGCCAGGGCAGCCGGGGGGACGGGCACCTCAGAGACTACGACTGTCAGTCCCCACTTTCCCACTTCCGTCCTCCACGTCAGCCCTCCTGGTCTCCGCCAGGGCTCTGGACAAGGCACACTATGACAGGGCAGGGGCTCAAGCGACAGGGAGGAGAAGACTGCTTTTCTAATTCCTCAGCCTCCGAGGGGAGGGACCCTCCTGCTTTCAGGAACCTTCCCTGCTCCACACTCTGCCCACTCCCAGCTGGGACATAGGAACAGTGCCTCCCATTTGCCTAACGTTCAAACCAAAACTGCATGATTGAGCGAGTGCATTTCCATCGCTTCCTCCTTCTCGCCTCTCTGTGTCACGCCTCCGGCCCTGCTCACTAGGCATGGGGCCTGTCCACTGCCAGAGTCGCTCGCTCTGCCCCCTCGGGGCCTTGGCGTTTCCTATTTTCTCTCCCTGGTTCTCTCCTCCCAGGGTTCTGCAGGATGCTGCCTCACTGGCATCCTTCAGAGGCTGTCTCACGAGCCTTCCCCGAGCTCCTGAGTTCCTCTCCAGCGCGCCAGTGTGGGTCTTTCCTTCAGCCCCCCTCGCAGTCCCTGAGATCTCGTCTCTGGGCTTGCTCGGTGGGCTCCCGGCTCTGCCACCCCCACGGCTCTGGCCAGAGCAGAGCTCGGGAGCACCGTCCGTCTGGTCCCTCGCCTGTGCCTCGCGGTGTGTGACACGGCAGCACACAGAACATTCTAGGGCTTGGGTGGATGTCCTACCTGCTCTCAGCTCACCCCCTAGCCCCTGTCTGTGAGCGCCTTTCCCCAACTCTAGCCGAGGCTGTTGGCGCCTGGTCCAGACCTGAGGTCCCTTCGACTGGCTGCAGCCTTCAAGAGCACGTTTGTCGTGGCCTCCTCGCAGAGGGGTGCCTGGGAGGTGCGTTATGCCCTCTCCCCTCCGTGCCCCAGACCAGCCATGCGAACCAGTGACAGACAGGTGGGGGCGAGGGGTGGGTATAAAAGCCCCCCCCAACTGGGTTCAAGCACCGGTGTGCTCTGGCCCCCAAGGCCTGTCCTCAAGAGCATGTCCACAGCCCTTACCCCGCCCCCCCGGGTCCCTCCACCATCACCCTCCACCCCAACGCCCCCTCGGCCCCAGGCACATGCACAGACGCACCTTCTGCTCCTCATTGTCACCGCTATTCTTTATCTTCTCCAGGATGGCCACGGTGAGTGGCTCCAGCCACCTGTCATCATTGATGGCCACCAGTGACTGACTGGAAAACTGAGGAAGAGGAAGGGGGAAGAGGACCACACTGAACAGTGGAAGGACTTTCTGCACAGGGAAGTGGGGTAAGAAAGAAGCAAGAGACAGGAGATGCTGTCTGGAAAGAGGGAGAAGGAGCTCCAGAAATGGGGAAGGCTGAAATACACAGAGCGGGGGTGGCCAGGACAGAGAATGGCAACACAGTGACGAGAAAGGCAATGCCACCTTTCCGGTTGACAAGCCCCACTCCTGTATTATCCTATTGGTGTCTGTGCAATAGGAGCTAACATTCCCATTTTGCAGATGGAGAAGCTGAGGCCCGGAAAGGTGAAATCACTCGCCCGAGGACACCCAGCCAGGGCTCTTCCCCTCGCTCTCCGTGGGAGGAGGGGCCATGAGGGTGTGGAGGGTGTGCGGTTGAGGCTGAGGGCAGAGTCTGAGACTCTGGTGCAGGCACCAGGAGGCACGGGTGCCCAGAGGGAGGTTCCCATGGTCAGGGAGGTCCCTTGATGGTGGCCTCAGCCACTGGGGACCCGGGGGCTCTCCTTCCTAAGGGCCCTGAGGAGGGAGCCACACTGGGGTGAGGGGAGAGAGGGGTCTTGGGGAGGGCTCACATGGAGCAGCCTGTTCTCCCACTTGTCCTGATCCAGGCTCCTCTCTGTGTGATCTGTGACAGGAGAGAGTGTGGGGACCACCCGATCGGAGGGCCCCAGCAGGAAAAGAACCCACCCTGGAACGCCCTCACCACCCTCACCGCGGTCCTACAACAGAACTGCTGTCCCACTGCACCGAGGCTGCAAGGCGAGGGCCTTCCCAGAGGTCGACCACACACAGCTGGCCAGCGTCCCAGCGAGGACCGGAAGCTGGTCTGTCTGGTCCCAAAGCCCACTCGCTCCCTGGCCCTCCACCCACAGGAAGGGGCGGCGGTCGGTCTGGGAACTCTGGGGCCACAGAGCTCTGGCCCGTGCCTGTGCTCAGAGCACAGCAGGGCCCTGGGAGGCCACCCGTGCAGACGGCATGCAGAGGGACAGAGAGGCGGGTCCCAGTGCTCCTCTCCCCAAGGAAGTTCCGCCCTGTGCCTGGGAGTCCAGCCCTTCTGGAGTCGCCCCGCTGCCCGGCTCCTTCCTCCACCTCCCAGCAGCCCTCACCACGCAGCAGCTGCACCAGCACGGGGATCTCCTTGCTCCACAGCTGGCCCACGCTCGCGTTGATGACGGGGTGCAGGGAGGTGATGGGGTGCAGGGCATAGAGGAGCCTCAGGGCGCTGATTCCAAATGCCTTTTCTCTGTAGGGCTTCAGGGCACAAAGCTGAGAGGGGAGAGACACACTCAGGAGGTGGAGACAAGGATTTCAGGGCAGGGAAGGAGGAACGTTAGAAGGAGCCCATAGCACGCTAGAGGCAAGCTCAGCCGTCCCAATCTTTTCTAGCTGTTGCACTTGTTCCCTGCATGCCCTCAGACGCCGCCTCTTCTGTGAAGCCCTCCGTGACTGCTGGTGGCCGGGTTAGCCATTGCTTTGCCGAGACCCCTTCCCCCCAGGGCTCCTCTGTTAGGGCACTCGTCACATGTCACGGAGTGGTTAGGTCATCCTCAGGGGCGTCTCCCTCACTGATGCTGTCAACACCTCAAGGGCGGGTACAAGGGCAGGTGTATACCTCTCTCTCCACATGTTCCTACTGTCTATCGCAGTGCTGGGCAAACAGGGAAACTGAGAGAAAGAGGTCTGGAAAGGCATGGGGACTTGTCCACGTCCAGAGAGAGAAGCTCACCAGGAGGTCACACAGGAGACAACCAGGCCTTCCCCGTCTGCCCCCTGTCCCCATGCTCCGGGCCCCACCACCTGGCCAGTGCCCTCCTCCAGGCCCTTTGGCCTGGGCTGCCCCTCCCCAGGGCCTCAAGGTGTCCCTGGTCCCCTTATTCCATGTCCAGGGTAAAGCCTGGAACAGAGCAGGACTCGGCTATTGTGGAACCATCAGACAGGTAAACGGACGGATGGAGACGCAGTCCCCGTCGCAGCGTCACTTACCACAAGGTGGGTCAGGAGTTTCTGTGGGGAGATGAACTCAGAGGCTACGTCAGAGAGAGGACAGAGGAAGGACAGCGTCAGTGCGAGCTCCGGGGGCCCCAGCTCCAGCCCCGCAGCCGCCCACCCTCCGTGCTGCAGACGAGCAAAGCCAAGTGTCGTGCTGGGGCCAGGACTCAGCCTAAAGCATAGCCCCTGCCATCCTGGCTTGCGAAAGAAACAAACGCCAAGTCAGTGCTGAATGGACGCCCTCATCCCGTCCCGCACCCCACGGGATGAGAGGTCAGGGGTGGGCGCGTGCAGGGAGGCCAGAGCTGGGGCAGAGGAGGCACCAGGCACAGGGCGGTCTGTGTGCCCACGACGTGGTGACCTCCCACAGTGCTTCCACATGTGTGCTCCGGGGTTTGAAAATGGAGACCAAAGGCCAGGGGAACCTGTGTGGGGGGCTCTCTCCTCGACTTTCCATCCATGCGGAGGGCCAACGGGTTCTGGCTGCGACCCAACCTTTCCTCTTCCTCCTCCCCCTCCCCACCTCCGCCCTCCCAGGGGCCCCTCCCCTGCACTTACGCCTGAGGTGGAAGCTGCTGAGGTAGGGGGCCTTGCCCAGGGCCCGGGCCCTCAGAGCTACCTCCCTGGCACTCTTGCTCAGGACCACGAAGGCCGCAGTGTTGTTGGGATGACACATCAAGCTGACCAGTTTGGGCAAGGGCACCTGGAAGGGGACGTGCCAGGGCTTCAGTGTGAACCCCAAATCAGCCCCATCATGTGACCTTCAACCCCATGACCTGGAATGCCTTTCCTGGAGGGGCCTGTGAAGCCTATAGACACAGGCCCCCTCCGCCATTCATTCCCAGTTTCTTTGTCTCTCTCGCCCTGTATTGGTAAAATGTCACCATGGTTTTCATTAAAAAGACACCACGAAGGACTTGATCAGACAGAAGGGCTTCTTGAAATTTGGAATGATGTGACTTGTCATTGCCTTCACTGGGGAACGTTCCAGAGGCAGAAGAAATGCGAGGGGTCAGGGGACAGGGCTTGTCGCGGGGGAGAGTAGCTTCATGCAGTGAGCAGAGGACCCCGGCTGTGCCCTCCCTTGCCCACCCCACAGCACGTCAGCTCCCAGGAGCCTCCAGGAAGCCTTGCAGGCTGCTGTGAGCAGGCAGGTGCATCGTCCCCGCTTCATACAGAAGGAGAAAGTCAGCCCAGAGAGCAATTTGCTCCAGATGTCACAGCCAGACACTGGCTGAGGGACCTGAGCTCAGGCCTCCAGACTCGCCACCCAGTGACTGTCATGTGCTCCCCTGAGCCCCTTCTCAGAGGAGCCCCAGGCCCTGTAGCAGGAGGAGACGGAGGTGGGGAGGGTGGAAACCACAGGACAAGGGGGAGATGGAGGCGAGGGGAGAAGAAGGCAGTGGGGGTCGGAGAAGTGGGCTGGGGAGGAGGAAACGGAGAGGCCTCTGTGACCCGCGCTGTTTGTACCATCTGCAGGATTTTGGAGCACATCTGTTTGACGTCCTCTTCATTCTGTAGGAAGAACAAAAGAACTAAAATCTGAAAGCAAGGCCAGCTGACTCTCCTGGTCAAGGCCTCCCCCGGCCTCCCACTCCCAGTCCTGCCAGCCCGGCCCCCTGTCTGCCCTCTGCTCCTCACCCTGCCCTCCCTCTCTGCCCTCCCCAAGCTTGGCTCCCTCCCTCAGGCCCCCTCAGGGCTGGCCCCGCTCACTGAGGGGTCCGACTCGCTGAGTTTGAGGACGTATTTGATGACGATGTTCCCATGGGGAAGGCTCAAGCAGTCATGATGGCTCAGCATTTCAAGGAAGTTCAGGAGGGCCAAGCGCACCTGCAAGGTCACAGATAGTCACATGCAAGATAATAAGAGACCTCATGGAGGCCATCTGAACCCCTCGGGTTCCAGGTGAGGACACAGAGGACCTCAGCAGGTCAGGGAGGTCTTCAAGGAACTCCGACCTCCCAATTCCAAGTCCACTGTGACTCTTAAGTGGACTCCGTGGCTGTGACAGAGCACCGGGCACCACATGTGACCACTTCTGGATACTGCCCAGAAGTTCTGACCCACGTCAGCTCCCACCATCCTCCTGGAGAACTCTGAGCACTGAGCTTGCCCACGCTGTGTGTCCCAAGGTATCTGGGTCGGGGAGAATCTCAGTCCAGGAAAGGCCCATGTTCTGGTCCTCACAGGTCAAGCCAGTGACAAGTCCTGCAAGTCCTGAGGTCCCAGCCCTCAAGAGCCCAGTCTCTTCATGAGCCTTCTGGGGACTTGAGCCCTGGTCTTTTGAGATGATGCCACTGCCCTACATATGGCACTCAAAACCATTGTGTCCTGTTCTCTCCATCCCAATGCTGTGTCCCACACCATCAGAGCTGGGAGTCTCTGCCTCCTCCAACTCTGGCTGTGGAGCTTTGTTCAAAATGCAGCTTCTCACACCCCACCCAGACGTTATGTTTGGTTGGGGCTTTCTGTGTCTAAGCACATTGTGAGTTCTTGGGCGGCTGATGAGTGTCATTTGGAGCTCCATGGCTCACCCGAAGACACCACAGTGCTGCCCACAGCAAAGGCTCCTAAGGAGGCAGGTAGGAACCACCTGTCTGCTTCTCCAACTCTACCCCAGTTTGAAAAACCCAAATGGGCTGGGCGCGGTGGCTCACGCCTGTAATCCTAGCACTCTGAGGGGCCGAGGTGGGCGGATTGCTTGAGGTCAGGAGTTCGAAACCAGCCTGAGCAAGAGTGAGACCACATCTCTACTATAAATAGACAGAAATTAATTGGCCAACTAATATATATAGAAAAAATTAGCCGGGCATGGTGGCGCATGCCTGTAGTCCCAGTTACTTGGGAGGCTGAGTCAGCAGGATTGCTTGAGCCCAGGAGTTTGAGGTTGCTGTGAGCTAGGCTGACGCCACGGCACTCATTCTAGCCTGAGCAACAAAGGGAGACTCTGTCTCAAAAAAAAAAAAAATAAAAGAAAAACCCAAATGTATCCCAAGGGCGGGGGTCTGGGGCCAGGACTGGCTTGGGCAGGGTGCCCTCCCTTCCTCTTTCCCCTCTCCCTGCCCCTCCACGAACAAGACCTTGAGGTCTCAGACAGCAGTTGCCCTCCCAGCACAAACAGACAGCCCTTCTGCTCACTGGTCTGCGATCCTCAAGTATCACCGTGACAACAGAATTCATCAACTCCCTCTTAAGTTCCTCTCTCTGGGCCACTAGAGAAAACACAGACATGCTGTTGTTCAGCATCCTCCCTCCTCCTCTGCTGCTTCAGGAGACTAAGAGGACAGACAGGTGTCAGGAGTTCCAGGTGCAGTCCTAGTCTTCAAAGGCCAGATGGAGTCTCTAAAGGGGTCTCAGCCACCCCTCTTCCTCCCACCCACACTAGATGGACCAGTCTAGGTGGAAAAGTGCTTTGACACAGTCGTTTCATCAAGCCGGCGTTGGAGACCCAGCCAGACTCCCGTGATTGCCTACACAAACCCCTTCTCCGGCCAAGCTGTCCTCCCACCATCTGCGCATCTCGGCCTGTAGACGTTGGCCCGTGCTCCTCTTCACAGTGAGCTCCCTCTCCTAGCCCACGGTGACGCTCTCCTTCCCTGCCTTCATGCCATCTTCCCTGTGAAGCCCATCCCAGCCCCTGACTGATTCCTTGCTGCACTTGTGCCATGCGTTGTCGCCATGCTCCCGTTTCAGCAACTCCTGTTTCAGGACCACCCCCATTCTGGCTCACCTTCCTGGAAAATCTCCTTGAAGACCTCCAGGGCTGACACAACTGCTGCTGGATCCTCATCTTTCATCATGTCTTGAAGGAGGAGGAACAGAGGATCCTGGTAGAACTTGCCTGTCAGCAGAGTGTACAGACAAGGGGATCACAGGTGTGTGTAAGAGGCGGGTAACAAGCAGGAGTAAAATCATGCTCACAGCAAAGCACTGGTCACCATGCGCAGGGTACATCTGGGGCCAGGTGGATGGAGAAAGGATGGAGGAAGAAAGAGAACCAGCCTTTGCCTAGCATTTACCATGTGCCAGGCATGGTGCCAGCAGCTTTTCCTGCTCTAGACCTTGGCCCTCCCCTGCCCCCAGCATGCCCTGCCCTAGGCCAGCACACAGTGTTTGGAGCTGAGGGTCCCGCTGGAAGAGAGGGAAGTCAGACCCAGGCCAAGGGAGTGGAAATAAAGGGAGTGGGGGTGGGGCAACGCCTGTGCCCTTTCAGATTCATTTAATTTCAGGCAAAGCTCTCATGAATTACTTTGCATCTCATCTAGAAGGATGGAAGCACCCATGGGAACCTAGCCCCGCCCTGCAGTCCAGGGAGAGACAAAAGTACATTCGTACACAGGCACACACAAACACCAGGGGCTGGGGGAAGCTGTTCACTCACTCAGCAGGTAGAAAGCCCTCAGGGCTGAGGTGTGGTTCTGTACTGAGAGGGGCTGTGCCTGGTTGACTTTGTCTCTCAACTGTAGGGAGATCAAGGCCATCAGACCTGGGAGGACTGAATTTAGCACCCCTATGCATGGATGAGGAAACTGAGGCATGAAGCCATGACAAGTGTGGTGCGTGGCTGTAAGGAAAACAGGAAAACAGAACCTAGGAATCCACATTCTTCTCCCCAGAGGGAGAAAGACGGTGGCCAGAAAATGAAATAGAAGGAAGCTATCACCCTTTTGCAAAATGTCGATGGCATTTCCCATAGGCTGTCGGAGAGGCTTGAACCTTCTGCCCATTTCCCAAAGTTTAGGGGGAGCAACAACTCTGTCACCCCAGGAAATGTATAGGATGTATCCAATGGACCTCATGGGAAAGATCCCGCTCTGTGCCCAGAATCCAGGCATGGAAGCCTGAAGTGTGTACAGCTAAGGTCACCATGTAAAGACACCTGTGCTGTGTGGAGGTGGTGGCCTGCTCTGGGGAAGCCATCACCTCCAAAGAAAAGAGGAAGGGCGAATCCAGGTGTTTCTAGCACCGAGGCACTTACCAGCTTGAATAGCATGCCGGTGATGTTCTCCAGCTGTGACTGCAAGTTCACACCTCCAGAGCCACTGGCGGCCACAGCATCCAACATCTGGCATATGCACTGTGTGCAAAAGACAGTCAGGACGAGGCTTCCAGCCCCTTCCACAGCCTCAAGGGAAATAGTCTTTCTCACATCATCTCTTCAAGGGTGGTCCCAGCCATCCTCATTGCACACGGTCCTCTTGGACCTTTTCAAGGCCGGCCCAGGGGCCAGTTCTTCCACAGGTAAACACAGCAAGGACCTGTCCTTCCGCCTCACCCAGGAAGCTACACTGATTTTCACATAACCTCATCATTCCACAAAAATTGTTAGGGCAATTCAACAGTGCAAGTGTTGGCCGCCTTCAAAGAACCAGGGTGAATTAATCGTGGCCAAAGCAAGAACTGGTTCTGTTGTTCTCTGATGTTAGCAATTCTGAAAACCAAGTCTAACAGCCTAAATGTCTCCCCTCTGCCTCTCGGATTCTACTGTTTTGCAGATTGTTCTTATCACCGATGTGAGGAAACAGCCTTCGTTTCCACATGTGAGCACATTCCATTTGATTTTTTAAAAATAGCTTTGTTGATGTGTAATTGACATATCATAAACGACACATATTTAAAAGGTACCATTTAGTAAGTTTCAACAAATGTATACATCTGTGAAACTATCACCACAGTTAAGATAATGAACATTTCCTCACCCCCATATATTTCCATTTACTTAGGTCTTCTTTAATTTCTCACAGCAATGATTAGCAGTTTCCAGTGGACAGGTTTGACCTATACACATCTTTTTTCAGATTTATTCCCAAGTATTTCATATTTTCGTATAGCTGATCATGATGCCTGTGAATAAAGACAGTTGTACTTCTTCCTTTCCCATCTGTATGCCAGTTAGGTCAACTTGCTTTAGAGCATTGTTCAAATCTTCACATGTGCACTGGTGGTCTACACATTCTATCAATTATTGAAAGAGGCGTGCTGAAATCTCTCATTGTAGTTATGAATTTGTCTATTTCTTCTTGCAGTTCTATTTTGCTTTAGGCAGTTTGAAGCTCTATTAAGCACAGAAACATTTAGAATTGTGTGTGCTCATGGTGAACTGACCCCTTTCTCATTATGAAATGACATTCTTTAAATCTGAATATAGTCTCTGCTCTGAAATCTGCTTTTTCTGGAATAAATATAGCCAATACAGCCTATTGGTCGAGATGTGTTAACATGGTATATCTTTCTCTATCCTTTTACTTTTAACCTATTTGTACCTTTATCTTTGAAGTGTAATTCCTGTAGGTAGCTTTTTTATCCATTTGACAATCTCTGCCTTTTAATTGGGAAATTTAGATCATTGATATCTAATGTGATTATTTATGTGGTTAAGTTTAAACCCACCGTCTTGCTATTTGTTTTCTATTAATCTCAATTCCTTGTTCTTCTTTCCCTCTCTCTTGGTCCTTTAAAAAAATTAATTGAATATGTTTTATTAATATAATTCCACTTTCTATCCTTTATTGGCTTATTAGCTATAACTCTTTGTTCTTTCAGTGGTTGGTATAGTTGATAGCACACATCTTTAACTTATCTCAGTCAACCTTCAAGTGATTTTTTTTTTCTTTTTTTTTTTTTTTTTTTTTTTTAGCTATCAATAGTTGACTGCACTTCAAGTGATTTTATACTATCTTATGTATAGTAAGTATAATGTGCTTATACCATGAGAATACTTTCTGTTATTGTCATATATTTTATATTTATTTATACATTTATTGTCATACATGTTATAAACTCCACACTACCTTGTTATAATTTTTGTTTAGTTTTGTGTTTCTTTGTTTTTGTTTTCTGTTTCTGAGATAGGGTCTTACTATGTTGCCCTGGCTGGCATAGAACTCCTGGGCTCAAGCCATCCTCCCACCTAAGTCTCCTGAGTAGCGGGACTACAGGTATATGCCTGCCTTAACTTTTTGTTTTTTTGAATCAGAGTCTCACTCTGTCACCCAGGCTAGAGCGCCATGGCGTCAGCATAGCTCAGCAACCTCAGACTCCTGAGCTTAAGTGATTCTACTGCCTTAGCCTCCCAAGTAGCTGGCCTACAGGCATGTGCCACTATGCCCTGCTAATTTTTTCTATTTTAGCAGAGACGGGGTTTCGCTCTTGCTCAGGCTGGTCTCAAACTCTTGAGCTCAAGTGGTCCTCCTGCCTCGGCCTCCCAGAATACTAGGATTACAGGTGTGAGCCACCGTGCCTGGCCTGCCTGGCTTAATTTTTAAAAAACAATTATATTTTAAGAGAGATTTAAAAAATAAGAACAAATATATGTTTATTCACATAGCTACCATTTATGGGTCTCTGCATTCCTTTGTATAAATCTAAATAGTGTTTCTAGCTGGTATCATTTTCCTTCTACCTGAAGGACTTCCTTTAACGTTTCTGTGAGTTGACTGGTGATGAATTCTCTCAGCTTTTGTATGTCTGAAAACTTATTTTTCCTAATCCATTTCTGAAAGATATTTTCACTGGGCATAGAATTCTACAAGACAGCGTGTTTCTTTCAGTACTTGGAGGTGCCATTTCACTCTCTTCTTGCTTACGTTGTTTCTAATGACAAATTGGATATTGTCTTTATCTTGTTCCCCCTACACGAAACATGGTTTTTGTTGTTGTTGGAGTTTTTTCTGTTTCTGTTTTCACTCTGAGTACTTTGAAGTTTTTCTCTCTTTTACTGATATCAAGAAATTTGATTATGCTATGCCTTGGTGTAGGTTCTTTATTTTTCTTGGGCTTGTGGTTTATTGAGTATCTTGGACTGGTGCATTCATAATTTTCTTCAGATTTAGAAAAATTTCCACCAATATTTCTGCAAATATTTCTTTCTTTCTCTCCCCATTCTTTGGAGGCACCAACTGCAAATAAATTAGGCTGCTTGAAGTTGTCCTATGGCTCATTGATGCTTTATTCTTTTTTTTTTTTTTCTTTTTAGTCTTCTTTCTCTGTGTTTTCATTTTGTGTAGTTTCTGTTGCTGTGTCTTCAAACAGTCTTTTACCCTGTGATGTCTAATCTGCCATTAATTCCATCCAGTCTTTTTATCATCACAGATAGTTTAATTTGTAGCTCTAAAAGTTCAGTTTGGTTCTTTTAAAAACATAGATCTTCCTTATTTCTGCTTGACTTACTTAATATTTCCTCTCGCTTTGAAATGTATGGAATGCAGTTATGACGCCTGCTGCAATGTGCTTGTCTGCTACTTTTAACCTCTGTGTGAGGACTCGTTCGGTTTTCCATGATGCTTATCCTTATTATAGGTCCTATTTTCCTTCTGCCACTGCCTGGAAACTCTCTACGGGAAGTGAGCTAGGGCGATTACAGGGCTCACTTCATTTCTTTCCTGCTTCTCAGGGATTACTGTTCTTTGATACCTGATGCCTAATGTCTTGAGAACTATTATTTCCTATCTTGTGCTCAGTTTTTCAGTTGGTGAGGCTGGACAGCAAATCTGGGCCCAGTTACCCCATCTTTGCCGGAAGCAGAAGTCTCTCCACTGGAGTTTCATCATTGGACAGTCTTCCCCTTGCTTGTGGTTGATCTATCTTCACCCTTCAAGGCACCATTCAAATGTCATCCCTTCTAAGAAGCTTCCTTAAGTTCCTGCAGGCAGAACTAATCATGGTTTCTCTGTTTCTTCCAGTTCCCCCTTCCCCAGAGATAGAAAGCAGCTCCGAGTCAAGCATAATAGCTTACCCATCACCCTTTCCCCAGCCCTGTTTATATTAACAGTAGCTACTCAATAAATGTGGGATGCATTCTCTCCAGGGTCAGCAAACTTTCTCTGTAAAGGACCAGATAGGGAATATTTTGGGGTTTTCTGGCCACAGGGTCTCTGGTACAGCTGGTCTTCTCTGCTGTCATGGCTCAGAGGCCCCCTTGGAGGCTATACACAGGCTATACAGAAGGAAACGGGCATGGCTGGGTCCCAGTGAAACCTTATTTACAAACACGGGCATCAGCGTGAACTGCTCAATAAATGTGGAATTCATGAACTAGGTCCGTTTCCTTCTCACTCCCACCCCAATCACCTGGGAAATGTAGAAAGGCTTCAGATCTGTTGATGTCAAAATCTTCAACCGCCGGATTAACCAGTTCACCTGCTTCTTGAGCTTGGATGGTGGGATGAGGGAGAACAGGTGGCTGGTGATCACCAGAGCTTTCTCTGCCACCTGTGCCCAAGAGACAGAAGGAGTTTCCCTCAGCTTGTCATTCATCTTGCTACTCCTGGGGCCCAGCACAGTGCCTGGCAGGGAGAGGGGGCCCAGTAAATGCAAATGACAGAACCGCATAATTAATGACTAAGTGAATGGATAGTGGAGTGTTTTCTGACTACTCCCTTTTCTGGACAATGAGAAGAGGTAGCTGAAGAGGGTCACCCTCTTCCCCTGGAAGAGCCTGATGAGTCAGCCTTCCACAGGCAGGTGGACAGACACTGCCCCTCCCACCTTTGGCTCAAGCTTCCCCCCAATCCCAGCTACCCCCCTTCTCACTCTGCTCTTGGTTTCCAGGGGCCAACGGTTGAAGAGAACCCGGAGGGTGAGGTGGGCCTTGATGGCCACTTCGTTGGAGGTGATGTCCATTACTTGTTCCCCCGTAGAGCCTATATCCAGGTGCTTCGGGACACTGGTGGCCAGTCCACTGAGCACTGTGAGGGGAGCAGGGAGTTGGAGCTGCCCATCACCTTTCCCTCCCCACAGAGGAAACAGACACACGCACACATGTGGACGGTCCTCCCACCTGACCCTACGAGGGTCCCTGGTGTCCTGTGCTGGGAACACTGCTCGTTCCCCATCTCCCCCACTACCCTTCCTTCTGAAGGCACCTGGTCCACCCCGAGAGGCAAGGACATTGGTGAGGCTGTCAACACTCACAGCCTCCCAATTAAGTTTGATCCTGGCCCCAAACCAGGCAACGGAGCACGGCATCTGCTCACACCCTGGCCTGCTCCCAGCCACCTCCTGCCCCTTCCCTGGACTTGTGGGATCCACGTTCAGGGACCTGGCCTTTTCCTGCCCTTCTTTGCTCCCTCCCTGGTTCCCACAGACCCTTTCCCCAGGCCCCCCTGACCCTCACCCTGACACAGCGCCAACATGTCCTCCTCCTCCTGGGTTGTCCTCAGCAGGCGCAGGACAAATGTCCATGTGGCACCGACATATGTGGCCGTGCCTGGGAGGAGAGGGGAAGAAAGACACCCCTGTCCTAGGGAGGAAGGCCTCCCAGCCACGCTGCCGTGTAGGCAGCCATATTGATTCGGCGCTTTGAGGCCTGGCTTCTGACCCTAGCTTTGCCTCCAAAGAGTCTGGGCGGCCTGGAGCAAGGTACTTCATTTACCTAAATTTCAGGTTCTGTAGCCGTGGAATGGGACTAGAGTCCTGCCCTGGCTACCTCTGGGAAGGAGCGCTGGGAAGGTGAACTTCCACAGTGAACGTGAGCACAGCACACAAGTGCCAGGGGTTGCCACCACCTGCACACACGCCCCTTCTCAGGGACACTTGCAGAACCTGAGAGCTGTGCTGTCTGAGCTCAGTGGGAGAACATTTGTCCTGATCAGATCAGGAGACACATTTCCGGCTTTTGGTGCTGTGTCCTCTGGGCTTGCCGTGTAGCCCAACCCTCATGCCTTGTCCCTTGGGACCTGAGGCCCAGAAAGCCAGCTGACTCCCCAGCCTCTGGCCCCAGCTCCAGGTCGTCAACATAGGTCAGGGACTGTCATTTGCCCAGTGGTTTGATTTTATTTATTTATTTATTTTTTTGAGGGAGAGGAGTGGAATGGGTAAGGCATCCACTGTTGTCACCAGGTGCCACAGGGACAGCGTGGAGGATGGAGATTGTGTGACGATTCTTTACCTCACCCTGCTACATGGTTGCCCTTCCAACCTGCTCATCCAACCCACAGCCCCTGGGACCCCTAAGCAAAGCCCCCTCACTCCCGCCTTTGTCCCTCCTGCCGCTGCTAAAGTGGCGCTTTCTGTGCTGCCTTCTGCTCCACCCCTGCTCCTCAGTCTTCTCCCAGCCCAGTCTCCCACACCCTAATGCTCCTCCCACTGCGCCATTCCTGGTCCCCAGGAACAACTCCTCAGTTCCCTTCAGCCCCACAGGGATCCTGGTTTGTCCCCCCCCTGCCCGCCATGGTGGCCAAGTGGAGCTGTCCCATGAGAGGATCAGGAGGATCGAGAGTCCACACGATGCCCCACCCCTGCCGCCCCGTCCTCTCCTCTCACAGAGTCCAGACCTGGGCGTTGGAAGAGTTTCCCCACTGCCACCAGCAGGCTCCTTGGGGGCAGTTTGTGCGAATGCAACTTATCCCACAGCTTGGTGATGATCATTGCTGGGCAGTAGGACCCCAGACCTACCAGGATCGAGGTACACATCTCCTCTAGTTCTCCCTGAGGCTCCTAGAAAGAGAGGGACTAACTGTTCCCAGGCTCATCCCCAAGACAGAGGGATCTCTCGATGGAAGGGAAGCAGCTTTGGTCGGTAAGTGATTCTCTTCTACCAAGAGGGCAGGAACCTCCCACCCATCCCACATGGGCCCTACCAGTGCTGGAGGGCAAGAGCTCCCTGAGTGTGCAAGAGGACAAGAAGGTAAGAAGGATAAGTTCTCAGCCTGCAAAGCCTCTGGCGTTGGGGTGGGGGTGGGTGTGGGTGTGGGGATGGTCGGTTCCAGACCCCAGAGCTTCCCTTACAGCTGTGAGTGAACCATCAGGAAGGTGGAAGAAGTTTTGGAAGCAACCTTGGAAAGTCATTGGGAGGTTCAAGGTCTTGGTCACCAGACAACTGTGCCAAGGGAAGGTAGGTAAACTGGAAGAAAGATACCTCCTACGTAGTAGCTAACCAAGAAAATAAGACAGCAGATAAACTCAGTGTTAGGAAAGTAAGTACAAAAGCATGTAGATGGATGGACAGATGGACATCATGACCCTTCAGTCTAAAGATGGGCTAACAGACAAGTGGGTGGATTTAGGTCAGGAAATTGACTGGGGTGATTAGTTGAGTCTCATTACCAAAGTGACTGCCTGTGGTCTCCTAGGAGGTTTAGGACACAGTCTGAGCACCAGGTCAGATGCTGAGTCCAGTAGCCCAAATCCTCCCCATCTCCCACCTCACCCCTTCCCTCCATCACTGTGTCTTCCATGCTGCCGTGTGTGCTGTTCTTGGGGTGTGCTCAGGGTACAGGACATGGGCATACTGTTTAGAAACTTGAGGGACTCATATCCTAGGTCCCACTTGGTCTCCAAATGTCATCGTCCATCAAAATAGAACTCCTGGGGTCAGTCCCAGGGTCCTTTCATTCTTTTCCCCCAACCTAGAGGCAAGGGCTCCTCACCATTGTCCTTAGGTAGTTGACGATAATATCTGTCACTCTCTGGTGTACTATAGTTGGCACCATGTTGTTTATGATTTTGGCTTCTAGCAACTTGAGGGTCTCTAAGACACTACTTGCCGAGAACTAAAGGAGAGAGGGCACGCAAGAAGAAAGGAAGGTTAGAGGGTGGAAATAATACAGAGAATGATGATCTCTGGTGGAGAAAGAAAGAGGAGGGGTGAATGTGGGAGAAGATTAAAGCTGGACCCGGGCTTGGAGGAATGGAGAAGTTATGGGTCACACTAGGGACATGGAAACCAGACCTGGAGCTCTGAATGAACTGGACCAAGTAGTACTCTGCTGATAGGAAATCATTCCTGGGTGGGCACCCAACCAGCTCCCTGGATGGAGGTGTCCTACCTTGGCTGGAGCCAGAAATACATCCGGGATGTCCTCACCTTAGCAGCAGCTTGGAGTGCCTCCATGAAGGTGTGGGTGGCCTTTCCTAAGCTATCCCATTCCAAGTCCTTTTCAGGGTGGCCCTGGGAGAATGTTGAGGACACTGAGGAACGCATAACTGTGTATATTTCTGTAAGGAATGGAGAGAGTGATGGGGTGTTTCTCTTCTGCTGTAGGTGGTCATTTCCTTGGGGGTCTTTCACCACAGTGTGGTGAATGAAAGGGGCTGCCTTGCTGAAATAATAGGAAAATATCTAATCCCACAATTTTCTAATAACAGCTAAAGATCAATCCTGTGAGTGTGCTCTCTTCCCTGCCCCCACCCCACCCCCCCAGGGCAGGCACCCTGCAGGGTTCTGTTTTCACAACATCTGTAAAAAGCCAAAAGACAGAAAGGAAATATAAATCTTTCTCTTCCCATTCACCAGCTCAAAGCCTTTAGAATTTGTTTTACAGCCTCTAGAAGTTCCTGGGGAGCCCAGGGATGGACTGCAGGGGAGCAAAAGCCAGCCAGGCCTCAGATCCTGCACAGCATCGTGTCTTGGGAGCTGGGACACCGACAAGATCTGTGACATCCGATGGCCACTTCTCCTGTCACCTGTCTACTGAGGAGAGAGTGGAGCTGGACGCAGCTCAAGGTACATACACTCTGTTGATTTGGCTACAGCCAGAAATCACCCCCCTTTATTATAATTCCTACATAAAAAGCCTAAATACCCAATTATCTCTGCCAACAAACACACTCTTCTTCATCGCTCGTGCTCGGCCCTTTCCTGCTTTGGAAAGTAAAATACATTTCTTCTTTCTATCCTTTGTCTGGAGAAAACTTATCTCAAACCCGAGTGTACCAGCACTCCACCCGAACAGTGAAAACAGGTGGAGAACAGTGTTTAAGAAAGAGAGGACACAACTTTGACTCCTCATACAGACTCTGCCCCTTAGGCCATTTGTGTAGCTCCTGGGATCTGTGTTTCTTCACATGTCAAATAAGTCTAATAAAAATTAACATGAGAATCAAAAAGGATGAGATTACGTGCTACTAGGGTATCAGCCTGCCCTTTGAATAACACCTTTTCCCTCCAGATCATAAGTGCCTTTCCCGGGTGGTAGAGAGTTATAGGGGTGAGGGGTGCTTGCCCGCAAGACCATTACTTACTAAAAATTGATTACTATGAACTACAAATTTATGTTACAGTCGCATCGACCTATAATCTTAGTTAATAGTGATAGGAAAGAAAAAAACCCAGCAAATTAACTTAGGCAGGGCTCAGTTTACTACCAGCAAACTATTTATTTATTTTTCTGATCTGTGATTTTGTTTTTAATTAAGTTATGATCACACCTAATTTTTAAATTTGTGTTTATCTCCCCTACTTTAATCCTTCTAATGAGTTAGTAAAAGCACCATTACCAATCAATCACGCACATACAGAAGTTCTACAGTTTTACATGCTTCTGAAGAGCTGTTTAAAGACAATCCTAAATGATGGCTTAGTCTCACTTAGGTAGTAAGGTAGTAAATAATTCAAAAGTTTAATTTGCTATTTCTTTTCACATTGACTTTTGAAAGCATTTAACCTTTATAGGTTGTCTATAAAATGTGAGAAGTGTTAAATATTCTTTATTTGATATTACACATAAACCATACTAAAATGCCTTTCAATAAATAAGGCAGCATTTGAGTAGACACAGGGCAATTAGATTGGCATAGTGAAGACCAAAAATGTATAAAGTAAACATTGCTATCTTGTCTCTAGCCCTTGCCTTTACCAGGCTAATGAACACAAGTTAAAACACTAGTGAGTCTTGCTTGCTTTCAAGACAGTGAAAGGATTTCCCTAGTATTTAAAATATCCACATAGCCAGTTATATAAATCTAAATATAAAACCAATCTTCAACAGAATTTGAAATGGCAATTTACCATCCTTGTGAAAAGTTGAACATTACTAACTAATCCAATCATATCTTCAGAAGGGGAAAGTAATGATAGCATATAATGTATTGGAATTACTATTTAAAAAAAACCTAATTAATCACAAGCCAGTCTCAGTTAAATCAGGACTGTCCAAGAAAAATATTCTGTTACTCTTTCATGATCTGAATTCTAGTGTATGAGATCAATTAAATTATGTACACATAAAAATGCCATGAGATATTTCTGTTTTGTAATAAATAAGGCAGTGGCCAATTATTACTCATTAGTAGCTTTTTTTGGCATAAGATAGCAAGTCTGCCCTTTCTCCCTTCTTCTTAATGCCGGCGAAGATCATTTTTGTTCTAGGGATGTTGTACTTGTTGGGATTCTCCAAATGCCCCATCAGTGTATCCTCTCCCCAGGCGATGCCGTTGCTCTGATGGGCGTCTGTGTAAGAGAATCCAGTGTCCTGACCTGTCCTCTGCCCAAAGGGACCATGGAGATTGGGCCCCGTCTTGTGCTTGCCTCCCTTTTCCACAGGGTGGCTCTGGGCACACTTCTGAACAAAAATCTTCTTGCCTTTCTCAGCATCACCCATATTTAATTCTCTCTTTGGCTGCTGACGGCACAGAAGGTTCCCAGTCAGAAGCTGGACGTCCTGCTCTCATTTATTTATTTAATTAAAGACATTACTTAACCTCCCCATGTCTTACATTCTGGTCTTTGTCAGCGTAGTAGTTGTAATATTTAACTTCATAGAGTTGTTAAGAGCATTAGATGAGACGATGTGTACATATAACAGTGCCTAACGAATAGTAAGAACTCAATAAATGCCAAATTATTAGACTGTTGCTCTCGATTAGAAAGTGTTGGCGCTCTGCCTGGAACCACGGCGTCCCACTATCTCTGTAGCAGAGGAGCCTTCCCTTGCCATTTTAAGGCCAAGTTCTGGATGTTAGATCAGGGTTTGGGGTGCCAGTGAGACACCCGCAAAACAACTAGAAAGGAAGCATATGCACAGAGTGGGAGAGGGAGGGGAAGAGAGAGGGAAAAAGGAAGGTGTCAATTAAATGAATAAGCAAACCTGGACTGCCAAAGACATGGAGAAGTCAAATGCTATGAAAGTTAGCCTCCAAAATCAATAACTGGAACATGAAATTACTCCAGAGGAGATTAATTTTATAAAGCAGTCTCTCAAAGACTTTAATGAAATGGTAATAATGATAATCATTATGATCAAATAAATATGCTAAGAAAGCTAAAAAATGAGAAAATAATTTTGAATTTAAAAGAGTAAGATATTATGAAATAAAACAGACTTAAAAATTTATAGATATGACAAAGAACCAACTAGAAAACTTGGAAATTAAAAATATAGGCATTGAAATTAAAATCTAGACAAATGGGATATAATCAAGATAGAACACAATTAGAGGAGAATTAGGAAGTTGGAAAATGGTTGTGAGGAATTCATCTAGTATGCAATATGGAAAATTAAAATAATTTCTAATTAAATAACTATGAACAGACATGAAGGAAAGACTGAGAGGAGTTCTAGAAGAATGGAGGGAAGGCAGTATCTAAAGATAATTGAGAAAGAGGATTAACAAGAGTAATCATTAAAAAACAAAAATCATTGAGAATTTTCCAGAATTGGATAAAGACCAGAATTCTCTGATGGAAAGTATATACTGAGTACTCACCAGGATAAATAAAGGTAAGTCTATGCTTCAGTGAAACTGCAGAATATCAAGGATAAAAAGAAAAATTCTAAGTCTAGCAGAACAAAATACAAGTTACCTACAGAGAAATGACAGACTGATAGCTAGTTTCTCAATAGCCACAAGAGATGTCAGGAGACAGTAAAGAAACAGCATTATGTATGTTGCACTCTCATTAGAGTCCAGAGTAACCACTAAGGAAGTGTAAAAGAATGTAAACTGACCAAGATAATAAAAGGGGAAAACGGAATGGTTTAAAAATAACTCAATCCAAAGGAAAAGGTCAAGAAAAGAGAGATGAGCTGGGCATGGTGGTGTGTGCCAATTGTCCCAGCTACTTGGGAGGCTGAGGCAAGAGGATTGCTAGAGGCCAGGAGTTTGAGGCCAGTCTGGGCAACATAGTGAGACCCATCTCTTAAAAAAAAAAAAAAGAAAGAAAAAAGAGAAATTATGGACGTGGAACAAATAGCACGTTCAGAAAATGCTCTTAAAAATGGTAGATTTAAGTCCAAATATTAGTAATTATATTCAATGAAAATTGATTCAATGTTCCAATTTAAAGAAAAAAGTTGTTAGATGGAAAGAAAAACAGAAAATCCACAGTATCCTATTTACTAGAGACACATCTCAAACAAAAGAATACAGGAAGATTGAAAGAAAAGGAAGGACAAAGATAAACTATGCAAACAGTAATCAAAAGAAAGCTAGCATAACTAGATGTATAGCAGATCAAATAGATCTTCAGGCACAAGGCATTTCTACTAAGAAGAAAACTTTATATCAACACAAGATTCAGTTCTCTAAGAAAATATACTAGCTTTTAATTTGTATGAGTCTACTGTAATAGCATAATCTCCATATAAGTCATAAGACTGATAGAACAAAAAAAGAGAAATTGATAAATCAGATTTAAAAATGGGAGATTTTAACATCTCTCTCAGATCTGAGAGAACAAAAAAAAAATCAGCAGGGGTATCGATTTGAAAAATGTAATTAGGAAAATTGATATAATAGGCTTAGTTAGAACACTGTATCCAATAATTGCAGAATATATATTCTTCCCACAACCACACGAAACATACAGAAAGTGATAATTTGCTGTGTAATAAGGCAAGGCGGTGGTGCTCACTCCCTGAGAGGCTGGTTGGCAGTCCCAGCCCAGGGTTCCCTGATCACCAACCTTGGCCTGCTCATAGCCCAGCAAGACAAATGTGCATAGCAGCTTTTTTTTCTTTGTAATAGCCAAAAGCTGAAACAACCAAAATGTCCTGCAATAGGCGCATGTCTGAATAAACCATGGTGCATCCATACCATGGAATACTACTTAGCAATTGGAAAGGAACAAACTGTTGATACATAACAACCTGGCTAGATCTCAAGGGTTTAATGTTGCATGGAAAAGCTTATGTCAAAAGGTCACGCACTGTATGATTCCATTTACACAACATTCCCCAAGTGACAAAATTAGAGACACGGAGAACAGATTACTGATTGCCCAGAGTTAGGGATCGGGGCAGGGGGAAGGACATGTATGGGTCACTATGAAGAGTGACACAAGAAAGATCTTTGTGATGATGGAATAGCTCTGTATCTTGACTGCAGCAGAGGTATCACAAATCCACACATGTGATAAAATAGCATAGAACTACACACACACTGTACCAATGTCAATTTCCTGGTCTTGATATTGCTCTGTAGTTAGCTGCTTTATATAAATAACTATTGAGAAAACCAGCTGAGGGGAACATGGGGCTTCTCTATACCTTTTTTGCAACTTCCTGTGAATCTATAATTATTTCAGAATAAAAAGTTCAAAAAGGGAATAATAAGGAAACATGATTGAAACATATCAAATATCGAACATAGTAAAATGAGTTAATAATGATACTATAAAATAATAAATTCATTCTTCACCATTGTAAGTTGCCAATGTACCGGGTCACCACTCTGAAAATTGAGAAATGAAAAGGGAAGCATCATGCCTTTTTCCTCCCTTTCCTATACAAATTAAGTTCCAGGGCAACCAATTAGTTACTGAGCAAAGAGCTCTCAGTAGGATTCTAGCTTAGTTAGTGCAAAAGTTAGTACAATCACCAGTTTTCAACCTTAATGAAATTATGGGTCTAACATTGAGCATTGGCAGATGGTGAAGCCATTAGCTGAGAGGCTAATGGGGAACTTTCTAATCAATGAATCATGCAGACAACACGCAAGTACACTAAAAGTGAGACTCCTCAGGCATTACGTGCCTGATGCAATAGGAACTACGTAGCACCACCCACAAAATATTATTGACAAGAGGAGAACATGAATGTAATCAATCCTCTGAATCTAACTACCAGTTTATGTGAAATAAGCTGTTGTAAGTTAGTAAACTGGAACAAATGAAAAGATATCACAAAGAAACAATCAGCCAAATTCAGAAGGTGAGACTGTCTACAGGACAATGGACTCAGTTTCCTCAACAAACAATGACTTATAAAAAGGGGTAAAATGTGGTGGATTATAAAAACAAATGCAATCTTGAACCATTTTTTTTTTTTTTTAACTTTTGTTGTTGTGGTGGTTGTTTTTGGAGAGATGGGGCCTGGCTATGTTGCCCAAGCTGGTCTTGTACTCCTGACCTTAAGCGATCCTCCTGCCTCAGCCTCCTAAAAGTGCTGGGATTACAGCATGGGCCAGTGCATCCAGCAGCTTCTCTGAATCTGGATTCAAACAAACTAACTATGAAAAGACATGTCTAAGATAATGTCTTGGACATATTTGAATATGTACTGGATATTACCTGATATTAAGACTTTAATGGTAATTTATTACATAGGATTACATATATTTTTACAGTCCTGACTGTTAGAGATGCATGTTGAAATATACTCAGAGGAAATGATGTGATGCCTAGAATATTAAAAGTGCTCACCTATTTCGACACCCAAATAGATGTGGAATAGCTAACCTGAGATTGGCATAATGGTGATAACTTGGGAAGGTAGGCACAATGGAGTTCATTATACTGCTCTTTCATCTATGTACAAAATGTTCCCAAGTTTAAAATCTAAAATTACTAAGAAAGCTGAAAATGGAGTAGTGGCGTGGCCTCGGCCTATGTGACTGTCAGTGCCAGCACAGGCTTTGTCTAGAAAGGTACAAGGTGATCAATGAAGAACCCCTTCTCGGAAAGGTAAACAGATTTCCCGGCCATGGCACGAGATGCGTTCATTCTAAGACGGAGACGACAGGAGGCAGATGGACAAGCTCTGGCTGGCGAGTGCACAGACCTAACCTCTAAGGACAGAGCTGGCTTACGGGAGTCTGGAGAAAAAGTGGAACAGCAGCTGCAGCAATCTGCATGCAGGGAGACCACACCTTTGCCACCGACTGGCAACCAAGGAGCGAGAGATGCAAGCGTGGATCACTCAAAGCCAGCACCGCGGGCAAAGCCAGCAGCTGAGCACCGCCCAGCGGAGATCAACTTGCTCTTCCTCAAAATGCAAAGTGAAAGGGAGCCCACTAAAGACGAACTGGAACAAGCCCCAAACGAACTGAGTGCCTGGAAGCTAACACCTGATAAGTGAACAAGACATACTCCCCAGGCAAGGCTTCCCTGACGGTGCAGCCGTGAGAAAGCTGTTCCCAGCCAGCTCAGCTCTCCTTTCCACACCAAGACTCAGGCTTTCTGAGACAAAAAAAAAAAAAAAAGCAACATTCGTACACTGTCCAGCTTGTCATGTTTAATATAAAACATCACAGAACCTGTGTTTCCGATTTTTTCTCCTCCCCATCCCCTTGCTTCAGAGGCCTGAAAGCTCCTAAACCGGATCTCCCTTGAAATTCCACCGCTGCTGGGATACCTTTCTAACGCCTCCACGGAAGGCTTAGAGCTGTCCTCTTGAAGGCGTGCGCCCCTGGGATGAAGGATGTTGCGTGTGATGACTTTGGCAGCACTCTTCCCACACGTCTCTGCAATGCAGCATCCACACGCCACAGCAGCCTCACTTTATTGTGTAGTGAAGACCTGGAAGATCGCGGCACACGGGCAGGAGTGTGAGCACAGCTGGTTTGGATGGTGCAAGTGGACATGCACGTCAGTACCTTACAGGCATCCTTCGTTTGCTTCTTACTTCACCCTAGCCCCTGCTTCCAGTACAAACCAGAGCCGCCTCCTAATACTTGCTCTGTCCTCGAGAAACAAGAGCTTTCGGTCTGGCTCCAGACTGGAGAGCTGTCTTCACAGCCACTGAGCTCTGGCTGGAACAGCGTCCCAATAGTGGGACCTCGCATTTCTCTTTGCTTGCTAGACCCAGTCTACGAGGAGCCTCTGCTCTATGTTTATGTCATCTTTTTTCTCCTCTTCTGAACCCAACTTTCTCTGAGATGGCTTTTACCTACCCTTTCTTCCTTGAATCAATCACCATGTGGAGGACTGACTCTTCCATCCTGGCTCCCACACCTCTCTCTTTTAGCCACTTCTCTGAGCTATTTGGGAGGACCAACTAAGGACGAAAGTTAGTAAGTCTAAAACCCATCTTATTAATAGATCTAAAATCCATCTTTACTACCCTGGCCTCGATAAGATCAGAGATAGTTTCAATCCATTTAGGAGACAGAAGCCGTGATGTTCTCAAGTTATTTTAGGGACAATTAAAATGTGCTAAACTCTCTATAGGCCCTTTTCCTTTTAGGATCTCATTTCATCTGCACAACACTGCAAGGATACAGCTGTTGGATTCTGGAGCTTACAGAAACTGAATGTTTGCTTAAAGTAACAGCTAATGAAAGGAAAACCAGAGATTCAAACCAGGTCCATGTAGCTCTGTTTCAGTCAAGTTCTGGTTGCAAGAGACAACCAGCATAAGTAAAACAAACAAACTGAAATGATGCACAGTGAGAGCTTAAGAACTGGGATTAGCTGGGAACACCCGGAACAGAAGCCATTGACAGGGCAGGACTTCCTGCTGCCTAGAACTGCAAGGTGGCCTGGATTTCATGACAGCTCTAGGAACCTCACTGACAGTTAAACACCCATCAATTTTTATTCTCCTGCTCATTCAGGTGGAGCCACAACCTGACTTCCTCAGCTGACTCAGAGTTTCTGCTTATCTCAAAGGTTCATCCCTCTACCTTCTAGCTTCAGCTCCCACTGCCAAGTGAAAATTCTTTTCATGTCTCCTAGTTCTAAATCCCAAGAGAAAAGTCAGATCAGCATCTGCTCTCCTTTTAAGACAGAGCACTGGTCAGCCTGCAGACTGGCCGGACACCAGCTGGGCCTTGCACCTGCTGCTCCCCCTGCCTGGGAGTGACGAGTCCTCGATGTTTAGGACTCAGCTCACCTCCTCAGAGAAGCCTCCCCCGCTATTGGGACACCCTATAGAGGTCTAACATGCCCCCTCCTCCCACAGCACACACAGCCCTGCCATGCTCTCACTCTTTCAGCACATTCCCCTGTATTTCATTTTCTCATACCTCTTAGCACTACCTCACCCATTTTATTTGTCTGTCTCCCGCACTGGGATATAAGCTACATTCATGGGTGGAGCTTGTTTGTCTCATTCTTCCCTGGCCCCAGGACTCAGAACTAGGTGCTTCAGCACCTCGCAGGTGTTCAATAAAAATCTGATGAATGAATGAATGAATAGCCAGCCAGGAGTGGGGCCTGTAGTAGAGGTTTCTGTTCTTGGTGTGAGCAGAGGAGGTCCCATGATGTGAATATCTAGTCCAATGACCAGTTCCTTAATAGTTTCAAACTCTTTTCAGTCGGCCTCACAATAACCCTGTGTTCTCAGTATTTTTCTTAGCTCTATTTTATAGATGAAGAAACTGAGATTCAGAAAAGTTAAGTGATTTGCTCAAGGTCACTCAACAGGTGGTTCAACCCAGGACTGGAACCATATCTGCACAGCCGCACGCCCCTGAGCTTTGTACTGCACCACTCTTCCTCCCAGCAGGGCAAGCAGGAAGGGAAAGGACTGGGTCACCAAACTCTATGATGACAACAAGAAACGATACAGAACAAAGTAATTGTTTCAATTCCCTGGGGGAGGTCATGGCGGCTCTCATTATTCCAGAAGCAGCACAGGCCATATACATCACGGGGATAGAGAGGTTTAGATAAATCTGAGAATGATGGATTCACTGAGCCCCATGATGGACATGTGGTGTGACTTTCTCAGACCTCTTCAGGGTGGCTATGTGGAGGCACCCTGACCTCCCACCCACGTTCTCCTGAGAATGCTGCTCCACTGCTGTGGCGCACACCAGCACGGCAGATCTCATGCCCATTAAACCAGGTAAGATTTGTGAAAGCACTTCAGGTGCACGTGAGTTCTGAAAGTGTTCATTTCCTTCAGCCCCCAATCACTTGTTACTTGCTTACTGAGCGTACCCTATTGCTATGGACTGAACTGTGTCTCCCCGAATTCATTCACTAACCCCCGATGTGACTGTATATGGAGATAAAGCTTTTAAGGAGGTAATTAAGGTTAAATGAAGTCATAAAAGTGCAGGTAGCTTTGTAATAAGGAAAAAGAGATCTGTGTCCACTCTGTGAGGACACACACAGGCCATCTGCAAGGCAGGAAGAGGCCTCACCAGGAACTGAACCTGCCAGCGCATTGATCTCAGACTTCCCATCCGCCAGGACTGTGAGAAAATAAATTCCTGTCATCTAAGCCACCTGGCCTATGATATTTTGTTATGACAGCCCCAGCAAATAGAGACAATTCTGTTCCACGTACTCTGCTACTTATTATGTTTCTAAAATGTTTTAGCTTTTAGAAACTGGAAAACACCACAGCCCCAAGAGAAAACCTTTTCTGCACCTGCTGTTAATCCGGAGCAGACGTCATGCTGCAGTGCAGCCATGCTCCACCAGCTGGGGGACAGCCTGGCCCGTAACACCAGCTTTCTTCCCTCGCTCTGTCCTGTCTTCTCCCCAACCCCCAATCTCCACCCTCTGAGCTCTCACACTGTGTACGACCCACCCAGCTATCCATTCGTATTTATGTGCACGGCTTTGACACTTCCGCCTACAATGTTGTCAACTGCATTCCATTCAGTCCTCTTTACTGGTCGCTGCTCCGCCCTGGCTCCCAGGTCTAAGGGCCAGCAGGACTGTGGCGCTATTAACAGAATGGGAGATAGGGTGAGATCGTCCCGCTTGGGATCCCAGCTGTGTCCTAGGTTAGTATCTCTAACCCCCAGTTGCCACCTCTGAAAAAGAGACGGGTAACAGTGCTCACTCATGCTGTTGCACAGACCTCTAGGTGAAATAATTTATGAAAAGTGCTTGGCATCGCTGGGACAAACTGAAGACCCTGACACATGTTACCTGTTATAACTCCCACCGGCCGCTCCAGTTCAACCGAAGGTGCTGCCTTCAGCCACCGGACCTTTCCACTGCATTGGTCCCTCGCCTGTCAATCACACCAGGCCCCGCCCCCTTGTTCCTCACTGTTTGTTCGCTCTGGACCCGCCCCGCCCCTCCTCATAGGGGCGGTTCCCCAAGGCACAGCCCCGCCCCCACCCCGTGAGCCTGCGCGGTCGTAGTGCATTGTCAGATGCCGCCGTCAGGTGTCTTGACAGGTGCTTGTCTTGATCACATTGGACGTCACTTACCTAACACCACCTGTCTTCTGGTCCTGGCTCTTGTCAGGCCTTCAGGGGTGGGAAACCTGCAGCCTCAAGCCACATGTGGCCTTCCAAATATCCCCAAGTGTGGACCCTTCACTGAATCCAAACTTTACCAACCAAATCCCTTTCTGTAAAATTTGGATTCAGACAAAAGACCTCGTCGCTTCTCGGCCTTTTGGCTAAGATCAAGTGCAGACAAAAGGCTCTCACATGAGGATCCAGAAGGCCACATGTGGCCCCCCTTCAAATTAGAAGAACAAAACACATCACCTTCACCTCCCTGGATTTGTTTTGTCCTTTGTTCATGGGATGAATTGGGCTAGATGGCCATTAGGAACTTTTCTGAAAGCATTGTTCTGTGAAATGATCAATGGCGGCATTTTGTGCTAAGTGCTTCCTGGACTGACTTTGGTACTTGCTGTGACATTCCTAGCAGCAGTGTACAAGGGTTCCTTTTTCTCCACACCCTCACCAACACTTGTTATTGCTTGTCTTTTTTTTGAAAATAGCCACCCTAACAGATGTGAGATATCTCATTGTAGTTTTGATTTGCATTTCATTAATGATTAGTGATGCTGAGCACCTTTTCATATACCTGTTGGCTATTTTTATGTATTCTTTGGGAAAACATCTATTCAGATCTTTTGCCCATTTTTTAATTGGATTTGTGTTATTTGCTATTCAGTCATGTGAGTTCCTATTATATTTTATATTCCTTATATATCCCCTTATCAGATGTATGGTTAACAAATATTTTCTCACAATCCATAAGCTGTCTTTTCATTTTGTTGATTGTTTCCCTTGCTTTACAGAAGCTTTTTAGTTTGGTGTAGTCCCACTCATTTATTTTTGCTTTTGTTGCCTGAGCTTTTGGTTTCAAATCCAAAAAATCATTTCCAAGGTCAGTGTTGAGATTGAGGAACTTTTGTGGTTTTAGGTCTTAAATGTGGTCTTTAAATCGTTTTGAGCTGATTTTTTTGTGTATGGTGTAAGAAAAGGGTCCAATATCATTCTTTTGAGAATGGATATCTAGTTTTTCCAACACCATTTATTGAAGAGACTATGCCTCCCCCATTGTGTATTTTTTGTGTTCTTGTCAAAACACCATATTGTTGACCTTATATTATTGGTCTGTCTATTCTGTTCCATTGGTCTATGTGTCTGTTTTTATGCCAGTACCATACCATTTTGATTACTATAGCTTTGTAACACAATTTGAAATTGTGTTGATATTAATATATTCAAATGTGATATTAATATATTCAACTTTGTTCCACTTTCTCAAGTTTGCTTTGCTTATTTGTGATTCCATACAAATTCTTTTTTTTTTTTTTTTTTTTGAGACAGAGTCTCACTCTGTTGCCCCGGCTAGAGTGCTGTGGCATCAGCCTAGCTCACAGCAACCTAAAACTCTTGGGCTCAAATTACCCTACTGCCTCAGCCTCCTGAGTAGCTGGGACTACAGGAATGCACCACCATGCCCAGCTAATTTTTTATATGTATATTTTTAGTTGTCTAGCTAATTTCTTTCTATTTGTCTTAGTAGAGATGGGGTCTCATTTTTGCTCAGGCTGGTCTTGAACTCCTGAGCTCAAACAGTCTGCCCGCCTTGGCCTTCTAGAGTGCTGGGATTCCAGGCATGAGCCACCATGCCTGGCCCCATACAAATTCTTGATATAGCAAAGATTCATGCTGTAATTTCCACAGTAACCACTAGAATATCTTTTAAAATATACAATGAACAAGCTAAATGAGGATAAAATGGAATAATAAAAATAATTAATTCAAAAGAGAATGGAAAGGAACAGAACAAATGGACCGAAGAAGAAGCAAACAGTATGGTGGATTTAAACACAGATATATTAGGACTCAAGCATGCCATACAGGTGCCTGGGAACTAGGGATTATCTAACCTAGTCCACCAATGCTGGAACCTGAACACTCTCCCAGGGATCCGAGGTTCAATTGATCCAAATTGCTAGCAACACCACAGTGGGTACATACCTAATGAGCCAGAAGGCAGCATACCTCTACCTCTCTACACAGAGCAGCAAAGGTCCTGGCAGAAGAGAACAGCTGAATTGAAAATTGCAAAGTTATCTGTTTTGAGCTGAAGGAAGAGAATCCAGATGAGAAGGAACCAGCATAAGAACTCTGGCAATATGAAAAAGCAGGCTGTTTCAACACCCACAAAGGATCACACTAGCTCTCCAGCAATGGACTGCAATCAAAAATAAATTGTAGAAATTTTGAAAATGAAATTTAAAATATGGATTGCAAGTGAGCTCAATGGGATTAATGTGAAAGTTGAAAACCAACACAAAGAAATAAAAAATAAATAAATAAGGACATGAATGAAAAATTGACTAAAGAGATAGTTTAAAAAAATTGACAGAACTTCTGGAAATCAAAGAATAATTTAGGGAAGTATAAAACACAGTTAAAAGTTTCAACAACAGACTAGACTAAGCACAAGAAAGAATTTCAGAGCCTGAAAATAAGGTTTTGAAGTAGCCCAGTCACTCTACAAATGGGACACCTGCACTCGAATGTTTATAGCAGCACAGTTCACAATCACAAAGGTGTGGAAACAACCCAGGTTCCCATTAATACATGAGTGGATTAATAAAATGTGGTATATGTATGCCATGGAGTACTATTCAGCTTTAAGAAACAATGGTGATATATAGCACCTCTTGTATTTTCCTGGATAGAGCTGGAAAACATTCTACTAAGTGATGTATCTCAAGAATGGAAAAACAAGCACCACATGTATTCACCAGCAAATTGGTATTAATGGATCAACACTTAAGTGGACATATAGGAATAAAATTTATCGGGTGTTGGGCAGGTGGGAGAGGGGAGGGGAGGCATGGGCAATATACGTAACCTTAACATTTGTACCCCCATAATATGCTGAAATAAAATAAATAAATAAAAAGAAAAAAAGAGAATTAGCTCAGTTAGTCAAAAATGAAGAAAAAAGAATCAAGAAGAAGGAACAAAGTCTTCAAGAATTATGGGACTATGTAAATGACCAAACATAATAATTATAGGTATCCCTGAGGGAGAAGAAGAAAAAGCAAAAAGCATAGAAAACCTACTTGAGGGAAAAATGGAGAAAAACTTCCCTGGTCTTACTAGAGATTTAGACAGCCATATACAAAAAGGCCATAAAAGTCCTGGAAGACTTATTGCAAACAGGACATGTCCAGGGCAATAGTCATCAGTCTGGCCAAAGTCAAAGTGAAGGAGAAATTTCTATAAGCTGTGAGATGAAAGCATCAAGTAACTTACAAAGGAAAACCTATCAGACTAATAGCCAAAATTCTCAGAGGAAACCTTACAAGCCAGAAGGAATTGAGATCCTGTCTTCAGTCTTATTAAACAGAATAACTGTCAGCCAAGCATTTTGTATCCCAAAACACTAAGCTGCATAAATGAAGTAGAAATAAAGTCTTTCCCAGACAAGCAGACACTAAGGGAATTTGTCACCATCAGACCTGCCCTACAAGAAATCCTTCAAAGTGCACTATACATCAAACAGAACAATCAACACCCTCCAGTGTAAAAATAACCAAAAGTAAAAACTCACAGCTCTTATAAAACAGTATCAAAAAGGAGAAGACAAAGCAACTAGGTAACAATCGACATGATGACCAGTATACTATCTCACACATCAATATTAACATCAAATGTCAACACTCTCAATGCCCAACTTAAAAGATAGATATAAATTGGTGGAAAGGGTAAAAAAAATTGCCCAAATATCTTCTGTCTTCAAGAAACCCATTTAAAAGTCTCATAGACTCAAGGTAAAAGAGTGGAAAAATATTACATGCAAATGGAAACCAAAAGCAAGGAAAAGTGGCTATTCTTATTATAGATAAAATGTACTTTAAACCAATAACAGTGAAAAAGACAAAGATGGTCATTATATAACAATAAAGGGGTCAATTCAACACGAAGATATAACAAAAAACAAATACTGCTAGACTTAAAGAAAGAAATAAACAGCAACATAATAATAGTGAGGTATTTCAACACTCCACTGACAGAACTAGACAGATAGATTATCAAGGCAAAAAATCAACAAAAAACACTGGACTTAAATGGGACTCTACAACAAATGGACTGAACAGACATTTACAGACCATTCTACCTACAAACTGTAGAATATACATTATTATCATCAGCACATGGAACATTTTCTAAGAGATCATATGCTAGGCAATAAAACAAGTCTCCTCAAATTGAAAAAATTAGAAATCATACCATGTACCTTCTCAGACCACACTGGAACAAAACTAGAAATCAATTCCAAGAGGAAATCTCAAAACCACAAAAACACAAGGAAATTAAACAACCTGCTGCTAAATGATCCCTGGGTCAATGACAAAATCAAGATTTAAATTTTAAAAATTTTCAAATAGAATGGCAAAAGCAACAAATGCTACCAAAATCTCTGGTATATGGCAAAAGCATTGCTAAGATTGCTATAGCACATCAGAAAGATAGAAAAATCACAAGTAACAACCTATTGTCACAACTCAGGGAACTAGAAAATGAAGAACAAAACAAATCCAAAGCGACCAAAAGAAAAGGAATAATAAAGATCAGAACAGAACTAAAAGAATTGGAAACAAATGAACAACAACAACAATAATAATAAAAAATAGAAAATCTCTACAAAA